GGAGAAGAAGAGGAAGCAGGAGGAGAAGGAAGAGGAGGAGGCGAATCCTTCAGATACTGATCATATTAATGCTGGTGACGATGATGATGTTGAATATGATGAAAGTATCTTTGAAGAGGAAGAATTCATTCTCAGTGATGATAGTGATGCTGGTGATAAGGATGATAATGATAATAATAATAATAATGGTCCACTGAAATCACGATCATTATCGGATTCAAATAACGCGAGTGAATATGAGCATACTGTCTCTAGACTACTGAAATCCAAGTGTAATCTACGTGATATCTCAAGATATTTAGATCCTGGACAATTTGATTTTCCTGATTGTATGGTAAGTGTTTCATTTTGCAATATTAATTGGTTACGCATTTGACGCCTTTGACCGTGTGCCTGTACTGAGGCCATCTTTTTGTTAAACAAGCTTGCTGTTTGTCTGTTTTCGACATAGAACTTTGCAAATATGTGCGGCAGTTCAAGTCGCCAAACTCCATGTAGCACACAAAGCAAGAGAAGAAAGTAGAAGAAATGCATAATATAGTCAGTAAACAGAGGTGTGAGACAAAAAAAGTAAGTAGTAATAACGAAGAACAAAACAGTTTTATTGGAAATCACATATTTGCAAAGTTCTATGTCGAAAACAGACAAACAGCAAGCTTGTTTAACAAAAAGATGGCCTCAGTACAGGCACACGGTCAAAGGCGTCAAATGCGTAACCAATTAATATTGCAAAATGAAACACTTACCATACAATCAGGAAAATCAAATTGTCCAGGATCTAAATATCTTGAGATATCACGTAGATTACACTTGGATTTCAGTAGTCTAGAGACAGTATGCTCATATTCACTCGCGTTATTTGAATCCGATAATGATCGTGATTTCAGTGGACCATTATTATTATTATTATCATTATCATCCTTATCACCAGCATCACTATCATCACTGAGAATGAATTCTTCCTCTTCAAAGATACTTTCATCATATTCAACATCATCATCGTCACCAGCATTAATATGATCAGTATCTGAAGGATTCGCCTCCTCCTCTTCCTTCTCCTCCTGCTTCCTCTTCTTCTCCTCACATTTTACGCTTTCATTCGCTGGACGACACATTGAATAGAAGAGTTCGCGATTAGCTAATAATTGATGCAGTTGTTCTAGCATACAGCTTGCTTTACGTTTATACTTCAACAAGGGGAGTTTGTTAATCCATACACTTAATTTTGCTTCTCCAATATTAGAACTTGACACTTGTTGTTGTTGTTGTTGAGTACTATTCAGTGAAAGTTGTTCCTCTGTTGGTAGAAATCCTGTACTTATTCCAACATGAATCAATTGTATCACAGAGTCGGTAATTGATGCTAACATTGACTCAAAATTAGTCGATTTTTTATCATCATCATCAGCATCACCGTCTGTGAAGAATACATCAACATTGAAACGTCCATTGATTAATTCACTGACTAATTCATGACTGAATAAACAACAAATTGATTGACTGTTTTCGATATCATTATCGATGGTGTTGTTGTTGTTGATTAGTAAGTCAATGACACGTTTAGCTGTATCATCTGCATTCCCATCCCCATCACCATCATCACTAAGAATATCAAGGTTGACATCGAGGAGTCCTCCTATACAGACATTTTCCTCTCTACTATTATTATCATAATTATTGGATGATTGAATAAATTTCAGACCAAAGAAATACTTATATAAATCGCTAAATGCATTAGATAATTGTTTACATGAACTGTTGATCAATTTCTTAACGGCGGCTTCTTCGTCTTTGTCTTCTCCTTCGCTTCGTCTTCGTTCTACGCCTCCTCGTCCTCCACTGCCTCTGCGTGTTTCTATATCAGTACTCTTATGACTAGAACGACTATTATGACTGTCATTATTGACTCCTTCTGCACTCCTTTTATTACTAATATTAGAAGTAGTGGTACTAGTAGTAGTAGTAGTACTCGTATTTGGTGCTATTAACAGTAGATTGAAGTAGCATAAGACACCACGGTTAGCCGCAGCAGTAGAAGCCGTTTTCCTACGATTATTACTACTACTAGCAGTACTATTCACTGATACGTCGATATCTAATTCATCATGGAGCGACTCATTAATCAATTGGCACTACAAACACAAAAACAAAACAAGAAAGAAAGAAAGGAGAAAATGAGGAGAGACAATAATTACTGCGAGTATATAATATGTTATGCAATATTGTATGAAATCATATTAATATATATGTGTGTAAAACTTGGGCACTACTGTGGTAGTAAGTAATTCCAAATTAGTTACAGGATTTCATCATGAGCTGACATTGGTTAGAGAACCATTGGTAGACCTGCAGGGAGTACTGGACAGCTGTTTCGTCCTAGTTTGGGACGAAATCCCTACAAACCAATACTTGAATATCAATGAGATGCTCACTGGCGACTGGCCCTATTCAGGTAGTACGTATTTACCTGGGGTTCCAATGGGAAGTGACCAGTAGGGTGCATCCGGTCAGGTGTGAGGACAAATACTCGCCGAAGACATTGGCTAGCGGTTGCGCTATATCGTGAATTGGCAGAAGTTAGAATTCATGGGCCATTGGATCGGGTCTCAGTGGCTTAATGGTATACGAGCTCGCCTTCTAACCAGAAGGTCCTGGGTTCGAACCCCGGTGGGTGCGTGCTGCTGAAGAGTCCCAAACTGGGCTGACGAAACAGTTGTCCAGTACTCCCTGCAGGTTTACCAATGGTTCTCTAACTGATGTCAGCTCATGATGAAATCCTGTTACCAATCAACTAAATCCCTACAAACCAATACTTGAATTCCAAATTAGTTTCTTCATTAGATGTATGATAGTCAGTGAAACAGTATTATTTACTGGGATGACAAAGTTTCGAACAAAATTTATTACTGTTCATAATCATTTCATCAATTATAATCACACGACTTCGAAACTTCAGTTTTTTAATAGTTTTCATTGTTCTCTCCTATTTATCGTCTTAGGTAGGGGTAGTAGAATTTTCCAGATGTCCGGGTGAGTGGACAGGTGTTGAATCATTCATTCCTATTACAGTGTTCGCAGTTGATTCGATAAACAAAGCTGACGGTATTAATCCTGCTCCCTCTACTCTTGGTGAAATGTTTAAGTAATAAGGTCACAAAATCTAAGTATTAACAAGCAAAATTTAAGACAGGAAGTCAGGCATATAAGAGAAGCTTTGAAACTTAATTGATAATTACCCTGGTAAATTAATCAGAAAGTATGTAGGGAAATATAAAAATAAAATCTATAATAATAATGGTAGTGATAGTGATAATAGTAATAATAATATTAATGACGACATGCATGTCAAACATGCACAGGATAATGACAACACCAACAATAGGGGATTTAAATCATCAGTAGTACTTCTTCCCATACAAAGAAGGAACTTCGGAAACCCTACGGCGGAGAATTATTAACAATGCAGGCAGGAATAAAAGTGGCTGGCATTCAAACCTATAATCTCAATTAGAAACAAACTTTGTCGGTTGAAAGACCAATCCTGCGAAGCCAATTAAACGAAACAGTTTAGTTTATCTAGTACCCTGCCTGCAATGATCGTCAGGTCAAATACATAGGTGGAAGTAGTACAGCGTTATGAGTGTCAACCACGAAGAGACGTAGAAGTGATTGAGTAAATCAAGGTTAGATTCATTACTGGAATTCTCAAAGATTGATGAGTATTTAGCGCTAATCTAATCATCATTTATTTCCATATAACAGTTATAATAACGTCTCATTTCTTGTCTTGCTTCCAGCTTATTTTTCAGTAAGTTTAGTAGAAGAAACAAGCAACTTTCCGATTCCATCCAGTAGTGATTCTCCTTCATTATGGAAAGTGTTTTGGTCAGCCAATCCTGTGACAGATGTACAAGTTAAACGGCCTACTGTGCATTCTTCATGTTCAGTAAGCAAAAGGCTGACTTTGGGACGGGATGTATTTCAGTTGATGCATACAAAAACTGATTCACTCAAAAATAATTGTCAGTCGACCGATAAATTTGCTATCCTGTCATCTGATCCTAAGAAAGCTGGACATGGTCAATTGATTATACCCTTTCTTTTTAAACCTGTTTCATCACATGAAAATACAATGTTTCAAGATTGGCACCTTAATTTTTGGATAGAACCATACTCACAAAATAAATCTCGCCATGAAGTACAATATAACCCAAAAGACTCGGTTACACTTTCAGTCACTTTAGAAGGTTCGGTAAGTATGATTTTGTGTGCAAGTTTTTCCTCCTTTGTTTTCAGAAGTTTGTCCAGATTAAAGCTGTTTTAGTGGAGATTGATTTCGAGAATAGGAAATTGAGTGGTGGTGATGCTTTGATATTGTTAATTATTTCAACGTGTGTTGACTGTACAATAAAGCTAAAGATTGTATGTAACTCTAGGTAAAGCCTTAAAATATCCAGTATACGATGTCATGTACATATTTGGAATGAAAATATGTGTAGGATAGAAGAATACAGATGTTTCTAATGTGTTGGCGTCGGTGGCACAGCGGTTAGGACGCTCGCCAACCATGCACATGGCCCGGGGTTCGATCCCCGGCTTACACACTCCTTTACCTGTCTAAACCAGAAATAAAGCTGGTAAAAAGGAAAGGTTGGGCATCCTGTATAAATAAAAACTGCTACAGAAACTTCAGGCCACTAGCTTGAAGCTCTTGTTCCACTGGGGAACGTGAAAGAATAAAATAATAAATAAATAAAAAATAATGTGTTGGCATTGAAACTTAATTTCTATTTTTAAACTGTTTGATCTGGGCATACCGTCACCTGTTTTTTTTATCGATGAAATACTGATTTGCCCTTTTATAATTTGTATCTGTTGTTACGGCGTCTACTTAACCATCCCTTTTGGTTCTCGACAAAACTGAATTAATCAGTTGTTGGTTCGACAAATTTTCACTGCATGTAATACTTAACTTAATTCCCATTCATCCTCTCTTTTAGTGCTGCAAACAACCTACGCTAAATAAAAGATCTCCATGCGCTCATCTACAAAACACGTCTAACAGCAAACTTGAAGTGTCCTCCTCTTCACTGTCCAAAGATCTCACATTCAACGATCGTAATGTGTCGTTGTCGAGAGAAATTGCTGCAAAATCTGTTCCTATAGGTCTACTTGATATTGTCGGTCTGCCGGTTAAATTTGAGATCATAGATTCAAAGTCTACAACAACCAAAACTCGTTTCCACAATGTAAGCAGTTTTTTTAAATTTTCATTCAACTCTGCATACCACTTTATGTTTAGCATTTATGTTGGCTTGTTTCTTCTAAACAGATATATTTCACTGTGTGAGTCACTGTCATCCTTTCTGCTTCATTGCTAGATTATGCTGATCAATCGCTTGAAGACAGCAGAGGTTTTCGTCAAACTTCAACTTCCAAATCCACCTTTTTATATGACAGAACCAAAAGAAACGAGGTTTCGTATAGCGTGAGTATCACTGAATTAGTTTTAACAAAATTCTACATGTTTTATTCACACTAACTAACTAGATTATCAATACAGAACTCTACAGAACAGTGTATCAGCTTAGGTTGCCACATTTCGGAGTAGCACTAAAAAGTAAAAAATAAAACAAATGTAATTAAACTATGGAAGACGAATTTTTACGGGAAGCAGTAATTAGATGACGACCAATGAAGATTTTCGTAATCTTGATAATACATTTGCGTCATTACGAGCGATTTTAAACCGATCACTGATTTTTAGTATTGCGAAGATCTCAGTACTCGATGTCCAACGTTCTCATTTGGTTATCTCTGGATTTCTCAGCCTAGTCGTACTTCAGCTAACTTTGTTAGTCGAGAAAAGCTGTGGTCCGGTATGCGTAAAACTTACTAGCCCTTGTATTCGATAGCGTTTGACTGACTTCCTCTCATTACGCTTAATTAATTATCATGTTATTCTACATAACCCAAAGGTACTGGTGGTCAGATACCGCTAGTCTTTTATTAACCTCTATTTTCAACTGCATGTCTCACAGATATGGAGTAAAACCTAGCAAACTTCTGATCTTTGCTTGTTCTCTTACGGAAGTATCCAGATGGGCAGTAAGAAAATTACTTTTCATTGAAATTCACTCTAGCAAATGAGTTCCGTAATCGCTAGTATGTGCTACACCAGCAAAGGCGCGAGGATTATCTCGTCCGATGGATTTTCTTTTGATCTTGGATTGATAAGGTGAGAGGATAACTGTACCTATCTATGGTTTATAAAGGTACAGTATACACTCAAACTCTGAATTTTGTTTAATAAGACCCAGGAATGATGTTAATCTGACTCCAAGCTCTAGACAAAGAGAAACGGTAAAGAGACTGTCTGGTGAGTAGTATTAGTCAGACTAGTACCTTAAGCTGGTGGGAGATCTATATGGAGATGCATATACCATGGTAGGTTATGCCGTCTAGTATCTGATAAATATATTAGTTATTTACAGGATCACCAGTTTTACTCAACTTCCCCACATACTTTCCCATCACTGTTTTGAAATGTGCTCAGATACTGCAAACTACTTTACATGTATGTTAATTAAATTTTTTTAAACTCTCTTTCGGAAAATTTAGGCCTCGTTCTCGTGTAAAGCTAGTGCTTAGCTTTCAACCTTACGATTTGGGACGTGCAAGTTCAGTTTTGGGAATTCGTGTTGAGTGCCGCAACCAAACAGAAGCCGACAAACCAACTGTTGATACATTTCAAATTCACTTATTTGGCACAATGAACTAACTTTGCTTTCTTATATTTCTATTGTGATCTTTTACTAAATAGCATATGAATTAATACACTATTATCTCCTGTGGCTACATAACTTATTCTCTCATTGTGAGGGACAAACCACACACACTATTTGAATTTAAAAATCCGCAAATTTCTGAAATAAATGTAAGATCATATAGAATAACGATTGCAAGCTATACGTATCTGTAAGACAGGTTGATGGTTGACAAGATCAGTAGATTAGGTCAGAAGATCGACGGTCCTAAAAATCCATCAACAATTGAAGTTAAAGCATGGTCATCTGAACCAACCTGTTGATTAGTACACGTGTCGCGAAGTCCTTAATTATTTATTTCCATTATTCCGCAAGCATACACAAAAAAGCTTCGCGCATTCCGGAACCACTAAAAGTAATTAAAATGTATTGACTAGTGCAAGTCGCTACACTTTTCAGCAAATATTTTAAGAGAAGCTGAAATACGTAGTAGGACGAAAAACAAAGCTGGTGATAGATAGATTACTTAAGAATACTAAAATTCTCGAAATATGAGTACTGGGTGCTTTTATGAACCTGATATATATATATATATATATATATATATCGATTTTTGGATTTTCGTCATGAAACAAGCCAACTAGCACGGTGTGCACATTGTGAACTTGACTGATAGAATTCAGTCTGCACCAACCAAACAAAAAGGACTAGACACACACTATACTAGTTGCTACTAACTAATGTCCAATCAAAAATATTCAGTACCGTCCTACAGGAGATCAATCGCCAGCCCGAATACCTAGCTCATTGGCAACGTCTGTAACTAACTGCAGCACACTGAGTGACGCGGGTTTGAATCTCAGAAGGAGGGACATAAGTAGTTCCATCAAGGTTTGAAGATACGCCTTGGTGACTGACTGGTGAGTGCTGACAAGCACGAAACCTTGGTTCAACAAGGCTTCCTGCCGATTTACTCCCACCGTCTGATGCCAACAATTCACAGTGCACCGTGCTGGTATAGTGGCCACATAGCATACTAGACTGATAGAATTCAGTCTGCACCAAACAAAGGACTACACACACACACATTACTCTAGTTACTGACTAGTGTCCATTCGAAAATGAACCAACAACAGTTAGAGAAGTCATTGAGAACCAAGGAGTATTGGACAGTTGTTTCATCCTTTCAAGGGATGCTTTAACATTCCGTAGTCATGACCCCACTTACCAGGGATTCAACCCGGGATCTTCAGGTTACGAGACCAAGCCAACTAATCGAAATTTTGATGGGTTTTTGTGCTCCGTTAGTCCAATCGATCCCGTTCTACTACTTTGACCTAAGTGTTATTTAACCTGACAATCATTCCAGCAGAGTACTAGGTAACCTAAATTGTTTTGTTTTAAAGGCTCCACAGGATTGATATTTTAACCGACAATGCTTATTTCTAATTGAGATTATAGGTTTGAATGCCAGCCACTTTTATTCCTGCCTGCATTGTTAATAATTCTCCGCCGTAGGGTTTCCGAAGTTCCTTCTTTGTATGGGAAGAAGTACTACTGATGATTTAAATCCCCTATTGTTGGTGTTGTCATTATCCTGTGCATGTTTGACATGCATGTCGTCATTAATATTATTATTACTATTATCACTATCACTACCATTATTATTATAGATTTTATTTTTATATTTCCCTACATACTTTCTGATTAATTTACCAGGGTAATTATCAATTAAGTTTCAAAGCTTCTCTTATATGCCTGACTTCCTGTCTTAAATTTTGCTTGTTAATACTTAGATTTTGTGACCTTATTACTTAAACATTTCACCAAGAGTAGAGGGAGCAGGATTAATACCGTCAGCTTTGTTTATCGAATCAACTGCGAACACTGTAATAGGAATGAATGATTCAACACCTGTCCACTCACCCGGACATCTGGAAAATTCTACTACCCCTACCTAAGACGATAAATAGGAGAGAACAATGAAAACTATTAAAAAACTGAAGTTTCGAAGTCGTGTGATTATAATTGATGAAATGATTATGAACAGTAATAAATTTTGTTCGAAACTTTGTCATTTAGTAAATAATAATACTAATTCACTATGTGTGTGACATATCTGATAAACAAACTAATATGGAAGAGCTGATAGACACTACTACTCAGCTACCCGGACTGAGATAGACATAATGGGACTCGAACCCAGGACTTGTTGGATCACAATCACCTACAACTGACGACAGAAAACGAATTTGCAACAACAACAACATGAATAGTAATTTAATTTATTACAAAAAGCAATTATTTTTACTATTAACAGGGTCAGCGCAAAAACCAATATACATATTCATAATCTCCCACACACAGAGGCAAAAAAAAGAATTTTCTGGGAAAATATAACAAAATATTAAGACTGTTTGTTATTGAAGCTATCAGTCCAAATTGTATCGATATGCAACTTTTTTAACATTTGATCACGCATTGAAGAACTGCTATGCAATGCTTTAATTAGACAACCTAACTCAAACGCTGTAATGCGGGACTCTGTAGACAATGGTCCTTTTCCATCCATCCATAGGACATCACGAATTATAGCCAATGATGAGACTGATAGAACACTGATAACTCCCTGCAGGCGTTGATATTCTGGACAACGTCGATGAAGTCGTGCTGTATTGGAGTTCTATTATATAAATATACATATCAATAAAAAATCAGAAACTGGAATTAATAATATTAATTAAAAAATATATTTTATTTTATTGTCATTATTATATATTAGAAACTGTCAGTTCGTGCCACTTCAGTGCATGTTTACAAATCCGCTTGCTCCTGTGCAGTTAGTTATATTGTAACGACAGAAAACAAGGACCAGGCAACAGATCGTTTATTGAGAAAATCAACAGATATTTATATATTTTTATGCACATGATTATTCGTTATTGTTAGCAGAGAAGCAACGTCTTCTGATTGGTTGTTTTCTCGCTGAAGTCTATTCTGTACCGCTTGTGACAGTTTCTTAGAAAGTTGAGCCATATATATATCTGCGAATAGTATTTGCCTGGCTCTTGTCTTCTGTCATTACACTACTAATATCAGTATTAAGGACTATAGTGACATATCATATTAGTTGTACCTAAGCAACAGAACGTGTAGGCGATTCAATGCTAAAATGATCGCGCCAGCCACGTTAGAGGTCAGCGGTTTCATTCCCGACCGACAACAACGCCTAAACCTCGCCTGAAAGTCTAGTAAAGAGGAAAGTTCGGGTGCGAGTGTGGCAACCCTATCCACTATTGACTGAGACTTCTAAACGCAAGGCTTACAGTCCTATGTGTCCAATCGGAACGTAATGGGATGAAATAATTAGTAGTGTAAGGGAGAGAACAATGTACTTAAAAATAGTTTGGAAAAAGATAGAAATTCACCAGCTACCTTGTATACACACACACGCACACACACACACATACATCAGCTAAATTTCCCAATTTACTGAATCCATCCCGGACATACCTGTTGTGATGACTTATTCATTGAGGCTTCCACAGTCAGATGAATTTTTTCGTCACTCGAAACAAAAAATTCTCTAACCTAGAAAAAAGAAAACAGAAAGGAAGAAAAGAAAAACCATCAAGGTATATGTAACAAAATCTGTCAAATGATTACATAATGATAGAGAATAACTAAATGCATAAAAGATTTGACATTAGAAGATCCCCAGCCTCAATGTATCCACACCAGCATGAATGATTTTAAGTCATCTCAATCAATAATTCCCTATCTCAGCGTCTCAACAACCAACCCAGCCATACAAATATATATATATATATAGCCTCCTTACATGACTGAAATCGACAATTCAATACTCCATAGTGTTGATCCCACGTTTTAGTTTTTCACCCCCAACCCAACCTAATTCTTTGTCAACTCGATGTGTCAACTACATGTGTAACACACATCTCCCAGCCATCCTAATCGACTCGTCTGAACAACCTCATTGACTCACTTTGCCCCCTTACCTGACACTCGATGTATAACTTGAATATTAGTCACTCAGTTATACCTTCTAACATGGTAGACAGAACACAGACACCTACGATTAAAGACAGATAGCTAGCATTTTCATGTCTTTCTTATGTCTCAAGCCTATAAAGGAGGACACAGAGAACTGCTGAGCAGCACAAACTCGATTTGATCGATAACCACTCGGAAATCACAACTACGAAAGAGATGACTAACTGACTGGTTTCAACATTGTTAGAACTTAGCACCGATGTGCACCAGTTCAAGTCGCCACACTTCACTTAGGACACAAAGCCAGAGAAGAAGAAAGTAAAAACAAATGCAAAACAGAGAGAATAAACAGGGATATGAGGCAAAAAGAATAATAATATCGAAGAACAATACAGTTTTATTGGATATTATTAGTCATAATGAGTGGATGCATCTGCGCATTCACTGAGAACGATTTTGAGCCATGTCACCAATTGTTTCCAGCCATTGGTTTTTACCGTCCCGGGGACCCCAACCAGTCACGAAGTTTACACCCCCCCCTACTTGGCTGGCTGGCTTAAAATAACTGTTGTGGATTTCAGTGACTGATGAAGCAATGTTTTGGTTTGACCACCAGCCACCAGCTCTTTTCCAACCTGACCCCATGTCAGCTAACATTACCTGTCGTCGAGGAACGCGACGGCTAAGCCAGACATGTGTAACACATGTCCTAACCATCTCAGTCGATTTACACAGTAGCATTCGACGCCTGACCAACTCAATATTAATTACTCACCCTCATATACTATACAACCTAACACGGGAGACAGAACGCAGACAGCTAGCCAGGCTTTTCATGTCTCCCACTCTCCATGGTCACATCATATCTCACAGCCATAAAGAAGGACGCAGTGGACTGTTGAGCAGTACACACACCCTTTGGTCGATAGCCGTCAGAGACGATAATGACTGGCATATACGGAACGAGCCTTTTGTATCTGTGCTGAGATTTCGTCAGCGATCAACCCGCTGGCGTTGGCTGATGCAAATTCCTAAATAAGTGAAACGATCAGAATTCTCTACCACTTCACTCAGTGTCTTTAAGCTAGAAGTCGATGTAACCCAGTCCTGTAGCATCCATCATCTTACATTTGATGATTGGAGCAAATCGCATGTCCAACATTTGAAGCCATATCACCAATTGTTTCCAGCCATTGGTGTTTACCGACCCGAGGACCCCAACCAGTCAGGAAGTCCACACCTTCCTACGTGACTGGCTGGCTTAAACTAACTGTTGTGGATTTCATTGACTGGTGCCATGTTTTGGTTTCACCACCGCTAGCTCTTTTCCAGCCTGACCAACCCTATGTCAGCTAACATTGCCCGTCGAGGAAGGCGATGACTAGGCATACGTAACACATGTCCTAACCATCTCAGTCGATGTAATTTCACAGCCTCGTCTATTGATTTCTCCTCCCACCAACCTAGCACTCGACCGATGCCTAACCAGCTCAATATTGCTCACCTTATTATACCACTTCACACCGGAGATAGAACGCAGGCATCTATGATCAAAGATAGCGAATCTTTTCATGTCTTCCACTCTCAATGGCTAGCATGTCTCACAGCCATAAAGAAGGACGGAGCGGACTGCTGATTAGTCAGTCGGAGTAGTCCAGTCTTTCAGCATCATCTTTCATCCGACAAAAGCAAATCACATGCCAAAATGCGTTCACTATTACAGACAAAAGATTTGATACTTTCAAAAATACGAAAAACCTAAATGAACAAGAATGCAATTAACAGAGGCTGAACAACTTTGACAAGAAGTCGTCCAGTGCTTTGATTCTTTTTTCAAAAATAAATAATGGTAATAATAGTAACAATAACTTACAGTGCCACTAATCTGATCTAATAAGATCAGTATTTTATCACAATCCGACTGTGTAATATCAGTTGAATTCACTATACACTTCACTAATTCTGCACAAACACAATTACACAAGTAACCTAAATAGGCATTTGAAAAAAAAAGAAAATTTAAACGAATTATTGTCGTCAACATTATCACCACTACCATTATGTGAGCTACATATACGGAGTTATGAGATGGTCACACAAACCTAGTCAATTCAGTAAAACAATACAGGAAGTTTTACTGGCTGTTAGTGACTGACTGGTGTCTTAACATAAAAAGAAACTTTGCACAGATGTACAGCACTTAAACTTTCCACTCTCACTCTCCATGTACCACACAGAAACAAGAGAAGAGAGTAAAGACAGATTATTATTATTGTTTCCTTTAAGTCCTACAGGAACATAGGGCTTCAGCCGTGCGTCTCCATTGCGTTCGGAGCTCTGCTAGAGTCTTCACCTGGCTCCAAGTCTGCCCACACGCTTTCATCTCCTCTTCACATGACCTCTTCCAAGTTACCCTCACACTGAAGACCAACTCGCCACTTCTCTTTCGGCTTCCACTCGAGCAATGGTTTGTCTAGTGATGTCACTTGATGGTTTGTTTTCTCAGAGTATGGCCAATCCATCTCCATTTCTTCCTGCCTATTTCTTTCACAGTCGGTCCCTGGTTGGTTCGCTCATTACCAAAGATCCCTGTTGCTGATCTTTTCTGGCCGGCCATCTGGTGTTGAGTAGTATTGAGCGAAGACAACTGTTAATGAAGGTTTGTAATTTGTTTGAGATGCTCTTTATGACGCACTGGCCAAGTCTCTGATCCGTATAGTAGCACTGACTGACTTCACATTGGAGTTGAAAATCCGGATCTTATTTTGATGCTGAGTGCTGTTGACCTCCACACAGACTTGAGAGTAGTGAAAGCTTGTCTTGCTTTTCCGATTCTCGCTTTGATATCCTCGTCAGTTCCACCGGCCTGTAGTTGAAACGATGCTTCCCAGGTAGGTAAAAGAGGTTGTTTCTTTCAGGTTCCTACCATTTAAGCTGATCGTTGTCTGTTGTTGTTGTTCTTGTCCAGGAATCTTCATCACCTCTATTTTCTCTATGTTCACCTGAAGTCCTATCTTTGATGCTTCTTCTGCCAACTTGTTGCTTTTTGCTAGTATATCTTCCGGTTTGTGGGAAATCAGACATATATCATCGGCGAAGTCCAGATCCTCCAAGTGTAAAGAGAGATAATAAACAGAATTGTGAGTGAGGGGAAAAGAATAGTAGTAATATAGTGGAAGAACAATAGGGTTTTATTGGATAAGTCACAATGAGTGAATACATCTGAGCCATCATTGAGAACGGGGATTTTGAGTCATATCACTGATAACTAACTCCAGTCTTCATTGGTTCTCACCATCCCTAGGACCCCAACCAACCAGTTAGGAAGTCTACTCCTCCCTACGTGGCTGGCTAGCTTAAACTAACTGCTATGGGTTTCACTGCCTAATGAAGCGATATCTTAGTTTGACCACCAACCACTAGTTCTTTTCCAACAACCTGACTCATACCCAGTAGCACTCGACGCCTGACCAACTCAATATTACTCACCCTATTATACTAAACCAACACTTGACAAGGAACGCAGATACCTATGATGAAAGACAGCTAGATAGCCAGGCTTCTCATGTCTTCCAGTTTGAACGGCCATCGTGTCTCACTCACAGTCATAAAGGAGGGTGTAGCGAACTGTTGAGCAGTATACACGTAGTTCGATAGATAACCAGTCGGATATCACGCCTACGTAATATAGACGGCTTAAGTTGGCAAACGCCGAACAAGCCTTCATCAACGATCAATCCGTTGGGGCTGGCTGATGCCACTTTCCAAATAAGTGAGTGAATAGGTCAACACGCTTCACCAATCACTTCACTGCTGCCCATCTTTAGGGTAGGAGTAAGTCAGTGTAGTCCAGTCGTGTATCATTGCCATATTATATTTGACAAAGGGAGAGAGTCGCACGCAAAACATTCAAAGACTATCGCTAATGAAGGTGGTGTTCACAAAACTCTACACTCTTTCAGCATCTCCGCCTAGACGGATTATATCATCCGCATATTCTCAGTGGACGAGATTATTTCTCGGTAACAAGTCAACCCGTGAACTTAGTTCCTCCTCCGGGGAAACAAATAGCTCATGTTCCTCTAGGCTACCAAATGTAGTTGCCCAAGCGAGGAGGGGTGTGATTTGAACCATGCACCCACAAAAGTAAGTAATTCTATTCATTAACAACAAGTTGAACTAATCAGATCATAAAGTGATTCAAATGTGAGAACAAAACTGAATTAAGCATCGACAATTCTAACTGTTACTTCATGCAATTTTTGGCCTTAACAAAACTTCCATAATATATATAGAGAACAGTGTTTTAAGAATAAGATGAATTCATTTAATTTCGTCATGACCTGTCTAGCGGTTAGGATTCCTTGCTGTCACCCTGGCGGTCCGGGTTCAACTCCCGATGCGTCGGTGGTTCTGTGGTAGAAAGTTCACCAACCATATCTCATGTGGTCCGGGGTTCATTTCCCGGCCGATGCACACCTAAAGCTCGCTAAGCTGGTAGTAAGGCCGGTAAAGATAGAAGGTTGGGCAACACCAGTCCATGAAAATAAACACCACTGCTACAAAAACTTCAAAGCTCTAGTTTGAAGCCCTTTGTTCTACTAGGAAAGTTAACGAATAAAATAAAGAAAATTGTATAATAAAGGAGTCAGCAAAAGTTAGCATTTATACGCAGCTGGATTCCACTTGAGTTCGATCCTCGGTGGCGGGGTCATGGATGTGTACTGACTGGAAAGCTCTAAGCTCGGACCGAAGGGCTGTCCAGTATACCCAAGTGGTGTTTTTTCCAATGGCTCTCTAATTCATGCCAACTTGTGATCTAACTCAGAACCAGTCATATCTCCCCCAAACTGACACTTTAAAATATCCATAACCATATACGATAGAGATGGTGTAAATGAATGTGAACATTGAACGTTGGTTCATTGACCTTGGACGCCATTGGCGGGCAACTCGAAGGCGCGAATGATTTAATCGTGTACAAGTTGGAAGAAGACGAAGGAATACGAATAAAAGTACAATTCATTCCTTGTAAAACATTTGTTTATAGACTTTGTACCGATATCGAATTTAACTGCCAAAGAATACAATTTCTTATTGGTCCTTGTGTTTTGGAGTTAAAGTCAATAATCGTTCATAGTGATTGTCAATTCGGAGCGTCTTCGCAAATAATAGGAACTTAGGGTTAAGTCCCTTGACAGATAGAGACATCATAAATCGTAATGAGAAGGGTATTCATCAACATTTGATTCAGATAAAACTGGAGGTAGTTACGTAATCGTGTGGGGGGACACAATGACTGAAAGTTGAACGCGTAAACCAACGAGTGAAATAACTATGACAGCATAACTGGTGGGCTAAATTTATTTTAGCATTATAATTTGTCAACTCATAATCATCTGGCATCAGTGACTGTAAGATACCTTGTCTGTGTAGCTGCTATCTATAATCTCTCCTTTATTGATGTTTATTGCACTAGAATACACCGTCTCTGTTGCCAGGTTGGTTCTTGTGATTGACGCTTCAGATAACAACAGATTGAGCAAAGACACATGTATTCCCTTTCAATTAGCAGTTCCTCATCATCGGCTGGCTGGCTCTATTACACTCACTAATATACAGTTTCTTTTACATCAATATTCGTTTACCAACCAAGTGGTTACTTTAGTCAATCAGATTTAGGTATAACCGGGGGTGGGTAGGTGAAATTAAAGGGGTTAAAAGTCGTCAAAACATCAATTAGCTAATAGATGTTAGTAACAAGATATCCAAATCAAAAGATAGTTACAAGGGGAGGGAAAAAACCGTTTTTAAAATACTTAATACATATTGCGTATTTTTCTATAGTTTGGTTTGTAGGGGTTAGTTTTGTTTTTACGAGTTGAACACGGTTAGAGAGAACCATTAGTTAGAGAACCATTGAAAACCAGCACTGGAGTACTGGACAGCCAGCTGTTTCATCCTAGTTTGGGAATCATCGGCAGTACGTACCAACTGGGGTTCGAACCCAGGACATTTCGGTTACAAGACTAGCCAGCTCGTATACCATTCAGCTACTGGGACCCGACTCAGTGGCTGATGAATTCTTACTTCTAACTAGATGTCCCACCTACGACAATGGTTGGGGTCGCGCTAAATCACGAATAGGTAGAAGTTAGAATTCATGGGCCATCGAATCGGGCTCCAGTGGCTGAATGGTGTTCGAGCTTGCCTTGTAACCGAAACGTCCTGGGTTCGAACCCTGGCGGTGGGTGAGTACTGCCGATGATTCCCAGACTAGGATGAAACAGCTGTCCAGCACTCCAATGCTGGTTTTCAATGGTTATCTAACTGATATCAATCCGTGATCAACTCGTAAAAACATATTAAGTAGTTGGCTATAGCGAAGAAAGGGGCTGTAGATATATTTCTTTTGAAAAAGAAGATTTGGCTTGTTCAGATGAATTCTGATTGCCTCTGCTGCTGTATTTAAAAGTCGTACTCGTAGACTAGGCGAGAGGTCGGGTGAAATACGATTAATAACCATTAAAGCTTTGTTAGAGTGAAATTGATGCCTGGTATCGAAGAGATGAGTTAGTATTGAGCTGTGTCTAAGCTTTATTCTGACCTTTGCAAAACCAAGATGGGAGGTGCTCAGAAATTCGACGATGAACTTGCCTGATCATACGCCCAATGTAACTAGCTCCACACGGGCACTTAAACTAATAAATACACATGGAAAAGGCGAAACAGAGCAGTTCACCCTTATTTCTTAAACTACGTATCGGTTGGCTAGTTAGCTTCAATAATACCATGAAATGAATGTGATGTTGCTCGATTGGTGGGCGTTTCGTCCCACTTGGGACTTATCAGACAGCTGCACCTATATATCCCCAGTGAATAATAGTGTTACTCTACTGAGAGTCAAACACAACGCCAATCATTCCACTGTCAGAGTAATATGACGTTTTTGAGTTTGAAACACCGGATGCAGGATCCATATATCACACACACACGCACACAATGGGGGAATGAAGAGGTACAATCAGCTAACAAATCACAAATAGGACGAAACGCGCTCCCTAAATTCTACCGCCCATCCGAACGTCACGCAGAAAATAATCGAAAATTTAAAACGGAGTGTAGGTAGGCGTGAATAGGCAGTAACATGTTGTACATTTAAACTCCCTGCCTAGTCACTTCAAAATAAAATTATTATTACTATTACCATTATCATTCGTATGCATCTTTACTTTTGCTGTAAACCGTAAACAACAGATTTGCCCGCTAATGTACTTTTATATTAATCTTTAAAACATCTGTAGTAAGAAAGGCAATGGCTATATGGAAAGTAGTCAGGGCATCAGGAGTTGTTGTTATTATTAGGTGGTTGGAGGCAATCGGCAGGAAGCCTTGGACCTAGGTTTCGTGCTAGTTGGCACTCATCAGCAAGGCGTATCTGCAACTTCGAAGGAACTGATGTCCCTTCTGAGATTCGAACCCGCGTCACCCAGTGCTGCAGTCAGAGACGTTACCAATGAGCTATTCAGGCTCGCGACTGACCTCCTGTAGGACTGTATTGGTTTTTTTCATAAATCTGTACGTGATATGAAAATAAAATCTGTATAGGTGAAAAATCCGGTACACACCACCATGTGTCTGTCTGCTTACAATATGAAATGAAAAACATTGATGTAAGATAGTACCGTATCAGTTGAAGTGTTGATAATATACCGCCTTGCATTCCAAGTGGAACACAACAAGGTTTCAAGCTGTTCTTTTTTTAACAGGAGTGAGAGGTTCTCCTACCTCACCCACCCAACACACACCCAACTCGCATCATTTCCGGGCTTACTACCTACAACCTACCTAGGTGAGGTTAAACAGTACATCAGCCGGAAAATAAACTCAGTCTTTCCGATTTAGTTAGCGAGGATTCTACCCTCGGAAATATACTAACGCGTATCACTCACATACACATTCATCATAAAAAAAACTTCAGATTTATAAAGGGCAATCAGAATAATAATAGGAACAACTGAAAATTAGTCATTTGAATCTATTTTTCCTTGTAATTCAAAACGTGCCATTTATTCTGTCTTTCAAAGTTCCTCGCTTATTATCAAGTGTTATGCAATCGCTGATTTATTTTATGCCTACAATCTCCCATCATCAAATCTGTTGTGTTTTATTTTAGAATTATCTTTAGGCATTGTTTATGTTGCTTAATTATTATTATTATTATTGTTATTATTATTATTTGTTTCCTTTAGTTCCTACAGAAACATAGGGCTTCAGCCGCACGTCTCTATTGCGTTAGGTTCTCCACCAACGTTTTCACTTCGCCCCACATCTGCCCACATGCTTTCGTTTCCCCCTCGCATAATATTTTTCATGTCACCCTCAGACGACCAACTGACTCACCGCTTCCCACTCAGCGGCTTCCACTCGAGCAGTGGCCTCGCGTGTGATGCCACTTGATAATGGTTCGCTTTCTCAGAGTATGGCCACCAATCCACCTCCATCCATTACTTCCTGCATATTTGTGGCACAATCACTTCCCGCTGCTTTAGTTCGCTCATTGCCAGAAAACCCGGTCGCTGATGTTTTCTAGTTGGCCATCTGATCTTGAGTAGTATTGAGCGAAGACAGTTGTTGATGATAGTCCGTAGTTTATTTGAAGTGCCTTTCGTGATGCGGTACGGCGTGGCCTGTCTGAACTGGCTTTTCGGTTTAGTTCCGTACTAGTAACTTAACGCTGGCTACGGACCACCGTAGTGCAAGTAGGGACGTACAATTTTCGGGGTCGACCTTTTCTAGCCTATCCCGCTCTCCAGAGTGGAGAAACAGCATAGCTGACTAGCATGCTGGTCATCAGAGGGAAAAAAGCTTACTACTGTTACATCTCTGTTCCTCAGCAGTACGACTTCGCCAACAGACCCCCAGCATAGTGTGAAAAAAATATCTTGCACTAAGGCGGTAACTGCTTTTAGTCTAATTGCTATCCTAACAGTTTTTCTGGCTTGGTATGACCTGCAGAAACATTAGCTTCAGCCAGTGTAACTTGTTGGTACATTTGGATATGCAAGCCCGACCACCACATCAGTGTAGCAGCTATCGGTCGGGCATTATTATTCAAACGCAGACTTGTTACATTATGAGTACCAAGGGATGAACCACACAAAATCTCATAGTTTATGCACGGACTGGCATATTTCCTGGATGCTTAGACACAAGCAGGTGATTGACTTAAGAGGTCACTCCTCTCCCCAAAACTTTGACTTGAAGCGTTCCTATGGTTGATGGTAACCAAAACAGATTCATACATGATTCGATCCTATCAGATTCTGGATGGAGTCCATGTACATCCATAGGTTTGAAATCAGGGTTTTACAGCTGCTCTCAGTAAGTAGACTTGCATGTTAACCAGTTAGGTTGTAGGTGACAGAACTTCGCTTTCGCCCTTTCACATTTATGAGGAACACCCCCCCCCTACCGCATGAAGGCAGTAAATAGAACTTACCTGGCTGGCAGAGGCACTGAACACCTGGAGACATGAGAGCATTTCAAGTGGAAGACTGAAGTCTACTACTGACTCTCTCCGGGTCGTTACAGGGTCTTTTATTAGTACTTTCAAAAACGAATCATTTTCAACTGATTGTCAATCGTTTCCTGCCTTAGCAACTAAACACTTAGATATGTTAATAAAACTCTAGCCTCAAGCTGTCAGTAATAGAAATTTCACGCACAGATACACACGTGGGACGAAATCACACTCCTAAGGGGAATGAGCCAATTAGTTAACTTGAAGTCATTAAAGACGCATATATAGTGCGCTACTGACAAGAAATTATAAGTAGTGCATTGTGGGTGATGACTTTTGAAAGAATCTTGAATAGCGTATCGATAGATTATGTTAAGAATAAAAGAAATGAAGAAATTCTTGTTGGCTAATATGAGAGGAACAAAGGACGACAAAACATGCACAGCACGAATAACATTTTAAAATTGAAATTTCAAATGTATTTGATCATCACTGTATGAGACATCATTTTGTCAAGTAAACGATTCTGCTGCAAGACACAGACACGACTATGTCCTATGATGTTACAATTCAACCTAGTAAGATCCCTTCACATCACCTCCAGACAGGCATGGACACACATATAATTATTAGCGCTGGAATGTTTGGCTCCAGCTGACATGTCAGCTCCTAGTGCGGACGCTTAGACGATATCCGAAGATTACACCATCGACGTTATTCAGTGGTTACTGGCCAGCAGTTGGATCCACAGAGAACATTTCGTCCTGTTAGGGACTCATCAACTTGGATAGATGTGCCTACAATCCTCAGTGAGTGAGTAATGGTAACCCCATTGAGACTCCAACCCATCACAAAAACCATGCGTGCAATTCGATCAATAATTGAATGAATGCATGTAAAAATAAATCAATAAAAAGAATCTTACCTAATGCACGATAATAGATCTTATATGGTAGATAGGCAAGAACATCAGCAACTTTTAGCAAATGACGGCAACAATCATCCATAGAAGTAGTACATCGATTATAACCGAATGATGAACTGACATCCTTTAAAGGGGAATAAGAAAAGTATCACAAAAACAGCAATGCAGACATAAATAAATAAGAGTTATAAGTTAGACAAACATAGATTGTATAGAGGAATAATGGAATAAGGGACTAACTAGCTAACACGGGATAACTAACAGACTGGTTTCAACACACTTAGAACTTTGCACCGATGTGCACCAGCTCAAGTCGCCACAAACCCTTCATGTAGTACACAAAGCAAGAGAAGAAATTAAAACGAAACGCAAAATAGAGACAGTAAACAGAAATGTGAGGCAAAAAGAATACCAATATCGAAGAACCATAGAGTTTTATTGGATATTATAAATTACAAAGAGTGAATACATCTGCGCCATTAATGAGAACGATTTTGAGACATTTCACCAATTGTCTCCAGCCTTCATTGGTTTCTACCGTCCCGAGGAACCCAACCAATCAGTTAGGAAGTGTACACCTCCCTACGTGGATGGCTTAAACTAAATGTTGTGGATGTCACTGACTAATGAATCGATGTTTTGGTTTAACCACTAACCACTTGCTCTTTTACAGCCTGAGATCGTATATAAGCTAACACTGCCTGCTGTCGATGACCAGGCATCCGTAACACATGTCTTATTCATCTCTCTCAACTGATGTAGCTTCACAGCCTCGTCGATCGATTCCCCCCCCCCACATACCTAGCACTCGACGCCGAAACTCAATATTGTTCACCCTATCATACCACTTCACACAGGAGATAGAACGCAGACACCTACGATCAAAGGCAACTAGCTAGCCTTTTCATATCTCCCACACTCAATGGCTATCATGTGTCACAGCGAGCCATGATGGAGGACGGAGCAGACTGCTGAGCATTACACACGCCCTTCGGTCGATAGACAGCTGAATATCACGTCTACGCCAGAGACGGCGCAAACTGGCAAGAAGAAACTCTGGCTGTGAAAAGATCAATCAACCGAGAACCGATTTCTCAACAAATACGTAGGAGATAATGGAGATGAATGGATAGGGCATGCGTTGAGGAGTTTGTCGAATGATATCGCGAACAATGCAGGCCATTGCTCGAGTGGAATCCCAATGGGAAGTGACGAGTGGGTCGCCAGTGCGAGGGTGACATGGAGGAGATCATGTGAGTTGGAGGAAGAGATGAGAGATTACGAGCAATCATGGACCCAACCAGATGAAGAGGACAGAAGAAAATGTAACAGAGTGAAATTGTGTTGTTGAAGCCCTATGTACCACTTGGAACCCAAGGGAATAATAATAATGACAATAAAACAAATGAATTTTTCAAGTATTGGTTTGGTAGGGATTTTGTTTAATTGTATGGAGGATTTCATCATGAGCTGACATCAGTTAGAGAACCACTGGAAAACCTGGGAGTACTGGACAGCTGTTTCGTCCTAGTTTGGGACTCTTCAGCAGTACGCACCCACTGGGTTCGAACCCAGGACCTACCAGTAGGGTAAGCAGGTTGGAGATGTGACAGTAACTCATCTAAGAAGACATTGCGAAATGGTCGCGCTATGTCGTGAATTGGCAGAAGTTAGAATTCAAGGACCATTGGATCGGGTCCCAGTGGCTCAATGGTCTACGAGCTCGCCTTGTAACCAGAAGGTCCTGGGTTCGAATCCCAGTGGGTGCGTACTGATGAAGAGTCCCAAACTAGGACGAAACAGCTGTCCAGTACTCCCAGGTTTTCCAATGGTTCTCTAACTGATGTCAGCTCATGATGAAATCCTCCATAAAAGCTGAATTATCACACGTGAAACTAAAACCTTTTCGGGAATTACTTCTCAAATGGATGCAACGGCATCCCACCAGGTGAGTCCCAATAGGTACGAATACGTACGGTTTGGATTCTTAACTGCTAGTAGCCACCACCATTAAACAAATAAGATTGTGACATGTCCTACTGACAAGATTTATAAGTAGTATATATATACAGATAAAAATACCTATATCATCTGCAAGAATATCGAATAGTGCAGAGATGAATTTAATGAACGATGCTTATGAAACAATATAGAAAGCATAAAAGGAAAACAAAGAAGAACAATCCAGAAGACAAAAGTAACACGATACCGAAGCTAAGTGTCAATTTGTGATTCTAGCATATGGTAGATGTATTTTGCCTAAAATATGTTCTGAAAATTTGACGGGTTTTTTTTACTCGGTTGGTGATAGTGACCAGCAGTAGAATTTAGGTTATGTATTTTGTCCTATTTGAGACTGTTTCTTGATTGAATGTATCTGCAACCCATTAAACAAGTCCAAAATAGGTAGGAAAGTGCAAATTGGATTCTAATTCTAATTCTAATAGCCACATCCATCAGTGTTCATCTTAAGGCAGCTGATATGTCAAGTAGATATCGAGTGTTTCTTTTCAATATGCATAATCAATCGATGGAAAATAAAAAGTCACTTTAACAAATGACATTTAAAGGTGAAAATATTACAGCAATAGTCAACAAAAGATGGAGTAAGTCACTAACCAAAGCCTATCATCCTGCAGTTAAGTTGGTTTCCGTCTATTGAACAACGTTCTCTTTGATGTAATCAAAGGTCTCATGTTAACAAATCCAACTGTATATACAAATTTACACGTATCTACGAGAGCAGTTACATTGGGAGAACAGAATGATGGGCGTACCTCCGATTTTCTGAAAAAATGTACCAAAAAATTCTAAGTCTCAAGGGAACAAATGCTTTCAAAAGTGTCATCGTCAGGTACGGGTCATCAAGTGGACGTCGCAAGATTGTTCAAAATTATCAATAGGCAAGAGAGTTCAATTTTCCTTAAGTTTGCCAAAGTAATCTCCATCAAACGCCTGAAATCCGATTTATGCTTTCAGAAAGAAGCGGTTATCAGTCTCTCATTTCTTATCCTGGTAACTGGATATTTTCATCCTTTCTTTCACGTAACGCCGAGAGTTTACATTTTGTATGATTATTATTGTTTGGGATAAAGTGATTATTATCCAGAAAGAAGCGGTTATCAGTCTTTCTTCGCCCTGGTAACTAAATATTTTTCATCTCTCTTTCATCCGAATGAGGAATGCTGAAAAGTTTCCATTGTGCATGATTATTATTGTTCGGAATAGCATTTAATACTGCATATATATATATATATATATATTAGTGTATGCGTATGTTGATCGATTGATTTTTGTTTAAAATGAAACCTGTGCAAGTATGTTAAAATTGTATTTGTAGATACATTTAATAATGACTTCGCCCTGTAAGCAGCTGACGAGACGGCAACGAAATAAACAGTGATGGTACCATTTTATTCTGCTAAAACTGTAGTTCTTTCTTTGTTCAAATTCATTAAGGGGAATAAATGTATGAAACGTGTAACCAGTCATATCCCTGCAAACCAAGGCTTGAATTAAGTCAGATTTACAAATATACGTCAAATACCCTGTAACACACTACGACACCCAACATAAGGGCAAGTGATGCTACCGAAACACCTAACTGAAAACTGTTTTCCAAGGTGTTGAGCCCCTCTCTCAAGGCTGGGCACGCATTAAAATAGAGTGAATATGAAGACGCTTTCAACTGAAGAACACGCTGAATACAAGCAAAGTAATATCACACAAACACACACACACACACACACACACAAACACGAACAAACAGACAAACAAACTATTAAAATAGAAATAAACAAAACAGGCACCTACATGAAATCCTTGTATCCTTTCAATGCATCGTAGGAGATGTTGTCGTTCACGTCTTAAATGATACAATAAGCTTTTGGCACCAGATTGATGTAAATGTGGTACCAGACTACAAGTACCCATTGCAGCTAATCTCTCCAGAATATCTTCATCAAAAACAATATCATTAGCACTGGCTACTGTTTCATAGTCCAAATCGAAAAAATCTCCAATAAATTTGTACGGGCCACGTTCACCCAGGGATAAACATTCATGAGCTAAATACATACAATCATTGTAGTACAGAACTGAAAAGTAAAAGAAGTATAGAGACAGAGAGAGAGAGGGAGGAGAATTATCAGTGCTTTCAATGTGATTTTAAAACAAGCAATAAAGGTTAATAAAGCAGGATGATTTAATGAATTCATCAAATTCCGGTAGAACTCCTTCTCAGCTGAATAACTCCATAATGGATAAGATTTTATTTTGATAAATCACACAGTGTTGTACAGTTATATCAACTGATGACGTTTCGAGCATAAATTATTCCCACTTATAATCATATCAAGTTGATTTTGCCTTCTTTTGATTTTTCAGGGTTAATGCACATTGTGCTCGAACCCCTTCTGCTGTTGTCTTATATATTGAACCTAGTGCTACTTCTATGTTAGGAATGACATCCTCTGGTTTTAATTTATTAACTGTTATATTGAAATTTAGTCCTTTCTCAAGTACTTTTATCTCACTAGAGCTTAGTTACCTTGATGAGAGGTTGATCACCCACTTCGTTCTGTTCATAGAGGATGAAGCGTTGACATCAATTTTATTTGCTGTGTTCTTTTCTTCAGTTAGTTTGTTGAATTGTTTGATTTGTGTGGTTCTTGATTTTCTTAATGCTGATTCTCTAGCTTTTTCGGATGTTTCAACAACAATTACATAATCTTTGTCATTGACCATACATTTGAGTTTCTGTTTGAGTTTTTCGATTTCATTTCGTATATTATTTAGTTTCACAGTAATTCGATGTAGTTCTTCTCTTAGACATAATCTACTGAGATGTTGAGCTGCTGAGGATATTTTTCTTGAAGTAATTAAAGTGCGTATGTGTAAATATTTTGCAGTTATATGATTTTTTAAACATTGACTGTTGAAAATCCGATGGTTTGTGAACTTGATATGATTATGAGCAGTAGTTTGTGCTCGAAATGTCATCAGTTAATATAACTGTACAACACTGTGTGATTTATCAAAATAAAATCTTATCCGTTATGGAGTTACACTCTACCACAGTGGCCAAGTTTTATACTTATATCGTCAGCTGAATACTCTACATACACGGATATATATAATACACTTTTGAAATTACATTGGGAGATATAAAACTGATAAGTAAACAAACTACATTGAATTAGTCATGCAGAAAGACAGGTGAGAATGTTTTTTCCAGGTCATGTTCAATTAGATAAGAGGAGAGAGAATATGGGAGATCAAAATTAAGATAAATTGCATTACGCTTCAATTACACCACGTAGATAAACAATTATACATTAGAGAATTTAACAAGAATTGCAAACAGAGTAATATCAATAGTAATAGTTATAATAACAATAATAATAATAACAGTGTTGAAGTGAGTTAACATAATCCTACTGATAAAGGATAGTTTTAAATGAATCAAGAATAATAATAATAATAGGTAGAATTACAAGTAAAACGTATTACCATGGTAGATTCAGAGTCACGATCATCTCCTTTTGTACACAGAGACCTGGTTTATAAACTCGAATTGCACAAGCCTCTGCAACTGCAAGCATCTTCTTGTTTATTTGTCTGCTGACAATAGTGAATGACTTGACCACGTCGATTTCATGTCCGTAATCCACAAGATGTTTTGTTATTGAGGATTTTGGCACTTTGCACTCAGCTGTTTTCAACCATTTTGGCAAATGCTCCATCATGCGAGTAGACAATCGCCTTTCTGTACGAGCTATGTATATGCTTCCACAAACACACTCAAATTGATATACGCAGTTTGAAGTGTGGAGGATTGGCGACTGGTCTTTCCCAGATTGATGAAGCACTCGATTAGTGGTTTTAAAGAAAACAAGTTTTGCAGCATAATAATAAATTCTCTTGATGGCTTTGTCGAGTCTTCGTTTGACTACTTCCTGTACATCATCTCCTTTGAACGGCAAACTGATATAGACAGGTTTCTTCGGAACTGTTAGGATTGTTTTGCAGGGGCTATTTTCTTTAGAGTATTTATTAATGAACTTCTCAGGATATCCATTCTTAGATAAAATATCCTTCACAGATTTTATTTCATGCTCAACAGTACTGCCAGCACAAATTTTTCGTGCTCTATTGAACAGTGTTCTGACTAAGTTCTTTTTATACTGGGTTGGAACAAAGCTCTTGAAATGCATGTACTGTCCTGTCCATGAGGACTTTCTAAATATAGATCTTTCGATTGTGCCATCATTCATTTTCTCCAGAAAAAAAGTCTAGAAATTTAATAGTATCGTTTTCCTCATGTTCTACTGTGAAATTGAGATTTGAATGGCATGAGTTGAATTTTACCAACATGTCTTCGGCTTTTGATCTGCTTCCACAGACTATAAAAATGTCATCAACATATCTTAGGTATACATCCGTTACTTGTATATGTTGCTGCAAGGTGGACTTCACACATTACTACCACTAGCACGCAAAAGCAGAGAACCCTCGACATAAGCTGTATCCTGGTTTAGAACATGACACCGCCAGCAGTCGAACCCCTGAACCTTCAGGTTATCAGAATAGCCAGTTGACTACTTCTTGACCCGAGAATTCTACCTTCTGTTGGCTAAGTAGCGTAGTCAACTGGAGATGGCCTTGTAAGCTGAAGTTCTTGGGGTTCGCTGCCTGCTAAAGTCATGGGTACTTACAGTGCACTGCAGGCAATAACGAAAAAATGATAGCAATCTATGATAATAATTTAGATATAATAAAAATCATTCCTTTATTCACTGGAGGATTTCAACATGACCTGACATCAGTCAGAAAACCATTGGAAAACCTCGGAGTACTGGACAGCCAGCTGTTTCCGCAGTCTATTTTGCGACCCTTCATCAGTACGCATCTACCGCCAGGGTTCGAACCCAGGGCCTTCCGGTTACTAGGCTAGCGAGCTCGCAGACCATTCATCAGCCGCTGGGACTCGAGCCAATGACCAACCCATGAATTCTAACTTCTGCCGATTCACGATATATAGCACGACCACTGAGCAATATCTTCTATGAGTAACTGTCCTTATCTTCGGCCTTCTGTAGCCTACTGATCACGGCTTCCCAATAGAACCAGCCCAGGTTAACTGCCTGAATAGGGCCAGTCACCAGGGAGCATCACATCAATTTTCAGGTATTGGTTTGTAGGGATTATGTTTGATTTGTTAGAGGATTTCATCATGAGCTGACAGCAGTTGGAGAACCATTGGAAAACCTGAGAGTACTGGGCAGTCAGTCAGCTGTTTCGTACTAGTGACCAGGAGGTCCTGGGTTCGAACTTTGATGGTGGGTATGTACTGATGAAGAAACGCAAACTAGGACGAAACAGCTGTCCAGAACTCTTGGCTGGTTTTCCAATGGTTCTCTAACTGATATCAGCTTATGATGAAATCCTCCAACCAATCAAACAAAATCTCTACAAACAAATACCTGAACATTCATTTATTCACACAATATATTATAAAATGACTGTCTGTTCAAATTAGTCAGTAAAAAAGTTGGTGAACTGCTGTTCAATCGCTGGGATACCCTATTGTTCCATCCATCAATGTTGTATTTCTTTTTTGTTAAACCTCAAACTTGTTATATTATGCGAACAAGAAAATAGGTCACATGAGATCTCATAGTTTGCGCGAGGGACGGGATATTACTGCCCGAACAACGAGGCCGAAAAAGATGGTTATCATAAGGAACGACCCAAGCCGAACCTTTGACTCCAATTCTGATCCACAAAGCAGTGGAAAAGCATCAGGATTTGCCTTCCCATGCTGGACGGTGACCAACTAAGGTGCATATACCATTCAATCCCATCGTATTCTGGTCGGTCAGTCGGTTTTCGACATAGAACTTTGCAAATATGTGCGGCAGTTCAAGTCGCCATACTCCCTCCATGTAGCACACAAATCAAGAGAAGAAAGTAGAAGAAATGCATAATATAGTCAGTAAACAGAGGTGTGAGACAAAAAAAGTAAGTAGTAATAACGAAGAACAAAACAGTTTCATTGGAAATCATGAGTCACAAGAAGTGGATGCATCTGCACCAGCCACTGAGAACAATTTTGAGCCATGTCACCAATTGTTTCCAACCATTGGTTTTTACCGTCCCGAGGACGCCAACCAATCAGGAAGTCTACACCTTCCTACGTGACCTAGACTAACTGTTGTAGATTTCATTGACTGGTGCCATGTTTTGGTTTGACCGCCGCTAGCTCTTTTCCAGCTTGACCTCTCTAATACTTCCTGTCTATATTTTGGATTGAAGAGTGAAGAGTACTGACTGACTGACTGGTTTCAATAGAGCACTTTGCACAGATGTGCAGCACTTCAATTTGCCACTCTCCCTTCTTGCACCACACAAAGCAAGTGAAGAGAGTAAAGAGAGATTCAAAATAGAGAGAGATAATAAACGGAAGTGTGAGTGAGGGAAAAAGAATACTAGTAATATGGAAGAACAATAGAGTTTTATTGAATATTATGAGTCATAATGAGTGGATGCATCTGCGCCACCATTGAGAACGGTTTCGAGCCATATCACCAAGTCTACACCTTCCTACTTGACTGGCTTAAACTAACTGTTGTGGATTTCATTGACTGATGCCGCCATGTTTTGGTTTAACCTGACCCTACGTCAGCTAACATTGCCCGTCGAGGAAGGCGATGACTAGGCATACGTAACACATGTCGTAACCGTCTCAGTCGATGTCACTTCACAATCTTGTGGATTGATTACCCTTCCTTACCTAGCACTCGACACCTAACCTCAGTATTGCTCACCCTATTATACCACTTCACGTCGGAGATAGAACGCAGACACGTGGAGGGCGGGTGAGGTTAGAAAAGGTTGAACCCAAAAACTGTAGTCCCAACTTACCATACGGTGGTCCGTAGCCCGCGGTAAGTTATTAGTATGGAACCAAACCTAAAAGCCAGTCCGTGTGTGACCGGCCTCAAGCAGTTGTCACCTTGGCTCTACGATTATGCAACATCAATTCTCTTTCTGTTTCAGGTTCTGCAATAATAAATCAACTTCCATGGTGTGGGCAACCGGGAGGTAACCAGTGCCCACATACACTTCCAAGAGCACACGAAGCCCCTCCCCTGAGCATCATTCTCCTTTACCCACAATCACCATCTTCTTACTCCCCTACTACAGTTAGTAGGGAATAATAATACCTACACTTCCTCTACGATGCATTCACCGGAAAGAGAAGACAATGAACCAGCTAGAAGACATTTGTAATATATATCTATATCAATAATTTGTAACATAAAGAACACAATATTCAGCCAAGAGACTCTTTTCAATGAATCTACTATCAAGCTGTATATGTATATATATATATATACGATTGTACGGCTTGATAATAAATTACCTTGAAAAGAGTCTCTTGGCTGGCTGGACTTTATGTCTACTTCAATAATGCATAATCCTCATATAAGACAAATTAAAATTAAATATCACACAGCGATGATGCGGTATTTACAACTGGATAACGTTTCGAGCACAATTTACTGCTGCTCATAATCATATCAATTTTAGTCAGACGTTTTCACAATTTGTCTTACATATTTTCTCTCATTCTGTCTCTCCAACTTCCTTTTGTTGTTTGTTGCGTCACTCCGATAGCATGTGTGCGGCGTTGAATCGATAAACAAAGTTTCAGTGATTAACCTCCATGTCTCTCGCTCCACGGAACTATATTACGTTTTCATACTCTCACCCTGTCCCACCCACCCTATTTTGTGATTGCATCCAAGTGAATGCACTGCAGTGTGATGGCTGAGCTCTGTAGGTGTCTAGGTGACTAAATTTTTATGTTCCAATAATCTAACTGATCCTGATCTACTAGTTCGATCTACTCAATTGACCACACAGTCAGCATTACATGATATTTGGTAAATTATATTATTTTTTTCATTGGATCTATTGGGTCCTTCAACTGACAAAGTTTATCTCTGAGAGAGTTAGCTGGTTGGTTGGTCAGTTGATTTAAAATGCCACTGTAATTCCAGACTCACTGAAAATCCAAAACGTAAAGCCTCTAACGTTCCTTTTTCATACGGCAGTACTACAGAGACTTTGAACTCTATATTATTCTCGTTATCTTCGTCACTTTTATTGCTAGTCCTAATTCCTCTATGGTGCTTCATATATTTCTGAATAAATTCTGGTGGGTAGTCAGTGATTCCCTAGTAATACTTCCTTTATTTATCCGACTTAATTACTTAAATCTTCTGTCTGACTAGTTAGTAAAGCTCTTGGCCCGATTATATAGACACTTAACTAAACCTATCTCTACCGGTTACTGGCATAATCTTGATAGATAGCTTCACTTATCCCACAATGCTTAAGCCATATTTACCAGGGACTACGTCTACCCATAGCTTGGTGATAGGGAGTGAAGTGATAGAACATGTTGACCACTTCACCTATTTGGGAAGTTGTATCAGCACCAACGGATTGATTGGTGACGAAATCTCAGCATGGATCCAAAAAGCTCGGACTGCTTTCGCTAACTTACACCATCTCTGGCGTAGGCGTGACATCGATATACAAGGACGTGTGTACTGCTCATCAGTTCGCTCCGTCCTTCTCTATGGCTCTGAAACATGGCCAATACGAGTCGAAGACATGAAAAGGTTGACTGTTTTTGATCATGGATGTCTACGATCTCTTTCTCACGTTGTGTGGCATAATAAGGTAAGTAATGCTGACGTTAGGCGTAGAGTGTTGGGCAAAGAGGGAAAATCAATCAACGAGGCTATAAAGTTACATAGGTTGAGATGGCCAGGTCACGTGCTGCGCATGCCTAACCATCGCCTCCCCCGACGGGCATTACTAGCTGATATAGGTGCAGGTTGGAAAAGAGTAAGCGGTGGCCAAACAAAACATGGCATCAATCCATGAAATCCTTGACAGTTAAACTGAGTCAGGTAGGGAGATGCAGACTTCCGGGTTGGGGCCCTCGGGACTCTAAGAATCACTGGCTGGAGACAATAGGTGACATGACCCAAAATCGTTGTCAATGGCTCAGATGTATTCAGCTCTGTAATCTTTCATATTCCTTTCTACCATTACTCATTCTGTTTCACTCTTATGCTTGTCAAAACTCTATTGATTCTCTTCACTCATTTTCTTGTCTACCTTTGTGTGCTATTTGGAACGTGGCAACTGGAACTGCTGCACTTCGGTGCCAAGTTCTATGTTGAATCCAGCCAGCCAGCCAGCCATATTTACTTGCATATAACATTACATAATTCCTACGAATAACGCCGACAATAACATCAATAGATTTTACAGAAACCAGTGAAACGGTCAGATATCTTCGACTGGATGAATAATAATAACGCCAGCATTCCACAAATCAAAGTGTCAGATATGCCGGAGAAAATGGAGATTGGACGAGATACACACTGGGGAGACGGTTGGTGACACATCGCGTGTCAAGTCCTCAGAGTCAACCCATATGAGATGGAGTAGATCGTGTGAGAAAAACAAATGAGAGCTTATATGGGCAAGCAATTATGAGAAGCGGAGAGAGGGGACAGAGTTGAAGCCCTATATCCCACTCAGAACCCAAGGGAGTAATAAATATTAACAGTAACATTAACAATTTAGTGCATATACATAATATCACCACTACTTACCAGCAAATCGTAAACCCGTCTGTGCATGTAAACTAGGTATCAGTGAGGTGAATAGCATAAATATCCGAGGAATTAATTTAATTATAAATTCAACAAAACTTATTGTGATAGTTTTCTTTGTATTTAAATCCAGCACATTATTTGCTGTCGATTGATTCACTTCATTCACTAAGGTTACAAGGTAGGTAGAACTATTATTGAGAATGTCATAGACTTGTTTCATCATTAGGAGGACAGTTTCCGACACCTTTGATAGAAAGGAAGAAAAAACAAAAGACAAAAAGGAAAATTTCATACATTTGGTCCCCTTGATAAATTTCCATAGAGAAAAAAAGACCAGATTTGCAGCATAAAATGTGATAGCATCATTCTATTTCATAGGTTCTCATCAGCTGCCATAGACTATCTGAAATTACAATAGTTACATATAAAGATGATAATAACATACTTTAATGTTTAAGTGGTAGTAGAGAAGAAATACTATAGCACTGACGCATCCGAAATGTAGGCGGCATTACAATTTTTTTAGTTCAAACTTTCATCATCAATTTATTCGCTTTCAAAGTAGAAAAGAGGGGAGAGGGGTAAGACGGAAAACAGAAAAAATTAACAAACAAAATGTTAGCCTGTAGGTGGCACAGCGGTTAGGACTCTCGCCGACCATGCACATGGTCCGGGGTTCGATACCCTGCCGACGCACACCTGATATCATCTATGGTCGGCCTGCGAAATTTGGGTTATCGGTATCACACGCTGAAAATTCCATACTTGTACCAAAAGAACTGTGTGGTTTCAAGCTATAATCAAAATCAAAAAAAATCAAATCATAGCAACTCAAAAAACAAAAGCGGTTACAGTTTATAAGATTGAGATTTGTTTAAAGAGTTGAGATCACTGAATTAGATGACTCATGAATGTAATGAAATCGAATTCAGTTAGCAAGGGAGTGAGAGATTAATCACACTCTCTTTCTGCATGCATAAGTCTGGTTGGTTTGAATCGGTTGACTGAGATCGCTTCGGCAAATCTTAGTAAATTTGCTGTCTATTTCATATTTTGAAGGACTTAGAAATCTCTACGAGATGTCCGGTATCAACAATATGTCTGGTAATTGCACTCTGCGAATATTTGCTTCCTTTCAGGCACAAGTTTCTTGGAATATGTCCAGAAAAAGGGATAGAAACCCTTCTTTCCATCCTTCCAATGTACTTGCTGCTGCAGGTGCACGTAAATTCATAAACGCAGTTGGAAGTGACATCAGCAAGGTATTTATCCAGTTTTGATTGGTTTATAGAAGAAGTGATGCTGTATAATGTTATGAGTTTAGCTGCAGGGAAGCTTCGTTCTATTGCACCTTTCATTCTTTTGTCAATCTTTTGTGACACTGCATCTCCTTTGAATTGATGATGAAAACTTAAACTAAAAAAAACTGTGACGCTTACATTTTGGATGCATCAGTTTTATAGTATTTCTTTTCCACTACCACTTAAACATTAAAGTATGTTATTACTTGATCTGCAGCCAGCTTCTCCTCGGACACGGATCATCAACGCAATTTGGATCCTTTGGTGACGTTGGATAATGCCTGGGTCAAGGAAGGGACGTGGCATCATGGAAGCATACAATAAAGTAAATAACAGTGAGTTGCCTGTTAATTGTAATGATATGTATGATGCTCAGCATGATGAGTTTGATGTTCACACTTCGCCGTTTAGTGATAGTAAGGGCTTACGATTACCTAAGTTTGAACCTCGATACTTTGATGGAAACCCAACCGACTACCCGCAGTTTATCAAAGAGTTTGAGGTCAAGCTGAGTGGTTTTGTATTAAATGATGAAATGAAGTTAATGTATTTGTTGAGGTATTGCATTGGTGTGGTTGCAAGAGCCATACAGTACTGCAAGTTTATGTCCCCGAACGAAGGATATGCTGAGGCAATGAGGATACTACGTCAAAGGTTTGGGAAACCATTTATGATATCCCATAACGTTTTTGAAACCGTGAAAGGTAATGAATCACAGTTAAACGATAATTCAGAGGAACTCGCAGAGTTCTTGGACAGTTTAATGGTATATAGAAATACCCTCGTGTCTCTTAATTGCGTAGATGAATTGAATTCGAGGTCCGTGCTTCGGACTGTTGCCAAGAGATTACCTGGTGAAAGACAGTGTCAATCAAGCCACGGGCAAATTCGCCAGCATTTTGCATTCTAAGGTAAAACCTAAGGAACCGGTGAACATAAACAAAATACAAAAAACACGTACACACAGAGAAAAAGTGATTCAAAAGGACTATGATAAACACAAATGTGAAGGAAGAAGAATACCGAAACGGATGAACATGACAGTTAAGTGGATATTGACTGACTGATTGACTGAGTGGTTTCAACTCAGAATTTTGCAAAGATGTGCAGCACTTCAACTTACCACTCTCCCTTCATGTACCACACAAAGCAAGAGAACTGAGTAAAGAGAGATTCAAAAGACAGAGAGATAATAAACACAAGTGTGAGTGAGGGGAAAAGAATAGTAGTAATATGGTCCAAGAACAATAGAGTTTCATTGGATGATATGAGAAATCACAAAGAGTGGATATTGTCTGTGCCATCATTGAGAACGAGGGTTCTGAGCCATATCACCGATAACTGTCTCCAATCTACATTGCTACTTACCATCCCGAGGACCCCAACCAACCAGTTAGGAAGTCTACACCTCCCTACGTGGCTGGCTGACTGGTTGGCTAGCTTAAAGTAACTGCTATGGATTGCACTGCCTAATGAAGCGATATCTTAGTTTGACCATCAACCACCAGCTGTTTTCCGACAACCTGATTCGTCCTGTGTCAGCTAACATCGCTGGTTGTCGAGGAAGGCGATGGGTGGTTAGTCGTGCATGAGTCACACAAATCCTAACCATCTCAAACGATGTAATTTCACAACCGCGTCAACTGACTTTCCCTCCGTACCCAGTAACACTCGACTCCTGACCAACTCAATATTACTCACCTTATTATGCGCTGTTTATCCCCACTAGCCAATCAATAGTCAGTTCAAGAAATGAAGTAAAAACTGGTCTGTTTCGCCTCTTCTATGTGTATTTACCAGTTTAACTGCTCATGAGGAGCTAATTACATTGGGCGTCATCGTCACATTTTTGAATACATCCTATCTTAATTTGGCAAAAGTTCGTATAAAGCTATACTCAGCTTAATACTAGCTCATTTCATCGATGTGTGACTGACTGACTGGTTTCAACATCAAGTTCACTCTAACAAGGCTTTTATAGCTATTTATCGTATTTCACCCCACCTCTCGCCTCATCCTCCACGGATATGACTTTTACATACAGCAGAGACAATCAGAATTCATCTGAACAAGCCAAATCTGTGAGTGTTTAAAAGAAGTATGTGTACAGCCGCATTCTGGGCAAACTTTGGCCAACTACATAATACATATATATATATATATATATATATATATGCATATATATATATATAGAGAGAGAGAGAGTTTTACATACGATTTTCCCTCTCCTCTCGTAACCATCTTTTGACTTTGATATTTTATTATGGATTACAATGCTAGGTAATTCAATTAACGTGTTCTTCTTAGTCATCCATATTTGAAAAATTTCTGCATTATATAATAACTTGTTACTAACCACACACCCCTCCCTCATTCGAAAGTTAGATATCTTGTTGGTAACATCTACTAGTGAATTGTTTTGATAACATTTAACCTCTTAATTTCAACTCCCCCCTTCACCTAAAACTGATGACTCTTATGGACGAAAACAACCGCATGATCAACACAACCTTGAGTGTAAAAAAAACACAACTATATATTAGAGTAGAGCCTATGATGAGGAACTTATTGAAAAGGAAACCACGATTACGCAGAAGTTAAAATTGATGGATCATTATAGTCCCCCTCCTCCCCCAGTCAAACAGCTGACTGGTCAACAAGCTGGCCTCTTAACCTCAATGTTCCAAATTCGATCCGCGATAGGGTGTTTTGAGCGTGGACTATTGATTGATGAATCCTAGTGTAGGACGAAATAACCCTATCCAGCGCCTGCTGATTTCCAATGATCGCTCTAACTCATGATGATGATAATAATAATAATAATAATAATAGCTTTATTTCGAATAGTTTTTTTCGTACAAATTTACAGCACATAGTACAGCATAGTAATATATCTAATTTCCTCATTATAGGGGTAATAATCAAAACAGAGCATTTGGATTGATTGAATTAAGTGAAAATATTAACAACTGTATAACATTTTTCTATTGTTGGTTTGTAAGGACTAGTTATGTTTTTACGAGCTGATCACGGACCAACTATAGAAAATTAATCTGATGCTCGCTAGCGACTTGCTACAGGGCAGAGTTTCCTGGAGTTCTAGTGAGAAGTCCTGACCAGTGAGGTCTATCCAGTCAAGTATGAGGATGGATGTCCTACCAATGACACTGGTTGGTGGTCGCACTAAATCACGAATTGATAGAAGTTAGAATTCATGCGGTGGCCATTGAATTGGGTCGCAGTGACTGAACAGTATACGAGCTAGCTTGTCATGTAACCGGAAAGTCCTGGGATTGAACCCCAGTGGGTGCGAACTGCCGATAATTCTCAAACTAGGATAAAACAGCTGTCTAGTACTCCAGTGCTGGTTTTCAATGGTTCTCTAACTGATATCAATCCGTAATCAACCCGTAAAAACAAAACTGTATAACAACAAAAAAATAAGGCCGATTACTTAGAATTCCACAGTAAGATGGTAATGTCCTGTCTTACACTTTTCTCATCATTATAAAATACGTGCGAAATAATGTGTCGCAGAGTTTTTGTACTTAGTTATCTGAGCATATAGTCTTCTATAGTTGCTTCTAGTTCTACATACCTAATGAAATGAGAGGAGAGGATTGTGTAATGGAGAGGATGCTTAAGGTCTGACAAGATAATATTTGCTAAATTTTGCATGAATTCAAGTCCAACAATCATTATATTTCTTGACCTAAAAGTGGCATTCGATTCTGTCGACCGAGAGGTACTCTGGCGATGCTTGGCTGTAAAGGGAATGCCGAGAAAATACATTGCACTGATCAAGGCACTCTACTCGAACTCATGCAGCCAGGTGAGGCCTTATGGCGAGTTGTCATCTGAAGTGGTGAGGACTAGTGGCGTCCGTCAGGGATGCCCATTATCCCCATTCCTATTCAATTTCAGCGTAGATGTACTAATGGACTTAACCCTAACTCACTTCAGAGACTCAGGGATTGACTTGCTACCAGGAAAAAATCTCATTGACTAAGAATATGCAGACGATAAAGTCCTTCTAGGCGAATACGCTGAAGAAATGCAGTATCTTTTGAACACCTTGACCTGCAATCTACGAATGTTTGGCATGCGATTCGCTCCCGCCAAATGAAAGATGATGTCACAGGATTGGATTACACCGACTCCTAGATTAGAAATAGGAAGTGAAGTGGTAGAGCACGTTGACCGCTTCACTTACTTGGGAAGTACCATCAGCCAGTGCCAACGGGTTGATCTCTGACGAAATCTCAGCCGGGATACAGAGGGCTAGTTTCGCATATGCCAGTTTACGCCGTCTCTGTCATAGACGTGATATCCAGCTGCCTATCAACTCAAGGGCGGGTGTACTGCTCAACAGTCTGCTCTGCCCTCCTTTATGGCTGTGAGACCTGGCCATTCAGAGTGGAAGACGTAATAAGATTAGCTGTCTTCGATCATAGGTTTCTGCGTTCTATCTCCTGTGTGAAATGGTTTAATAAGGTGAGCAATATTGAGCTGGTTAGGCATCGGTCGAGTGCTAGGTTGGTGGGAGGGGAAATCAATAGACGAGGCTGTGAAATTACAACGACTGAGATGGTTAGGACATGTGTTACGTATGCCTAGTCATCGCCTTCCTCGACGGGCAATGTTAGCTGATATAGGGCCAGACTGGAAAAGAGCTAGCGACGGTCAGACGAAAACATGGCACCAGTGAATGAAACCCACAACAGTTAGCTTAAGCCGGCGTTATTCGTAGGAATTATGTAATGTTATATGCAAGTAAATATGGCTGGCTGGCTGGCTGGATTCAACATAGAACTTGGCACCGAAGTGCAGCAGTTCCAGTTGCCACGTTCCAAATAGCACACAAAGGTAGACAAGAAAATCAGTGAAGAGAATCAATAGAGTTTTGACAAGCATAAGAGTGAAACAGAATGAGTAATGGTAGAAAGGAATATGAAAGATTACAGAGCTGAATACATCTGAGCCATTGACAACGATTTTGGGTCATGTCACCTATTGTCACCAGCCAGTGATTCTTAGAGTCCCGAGGGCCCCAACCCGGAAGTCTGCATCTCCCTACCTGACTCAGTTTAACTGTCAAGGATTTCATGGATTTGATGCCATGTTTTGTTTGGCCACCGCTTACTCTTTTCCAACCTGCACCTATATCAGCTAGTAATGCCCGTCGGGGGAGGCGATGGTTAGGCATGCGCAGCACGTGACCTGGCCATCTCAACCTATGTAACTTTATAGCCTCGTTGATTGATTTTCCCTCTTTGCCCAACACTCTACGCCTAACGTCAACATTACTTACCTTATTATGCCACACAACGTGAGAAAGAGATCGTAGACATCCATGATCAAAAACAGTCAACCTTTTCATGTCTTCGACTCGTATTGGCCATGTTTCAGAGCCATAGAGAAGGACGGAGCGAACTGATGAGCAGTACACAGGGATGTCACGCCTACGCCAGAGATGGTGTAAGTTAGCGAAAGCAGTCCGAGCTTTTTGGATCCATGCTGAGATTTCGTCACCAATCAATCCGTTGGTGCTGATACAACTTCCCAAATAGGTGAAGTGGTCAACATGTTCTATCACTTCACTCCCTATCACCAAGCTATGGGTAGACGTAGTCCCTGGTAAATATGGCTTAAGCATTGTGGGATAAGTGAAGCTATCTATCAAGATTATGCCAGTAACCGGTAGAGATAGGTTTAGTTAAGTGTCTATATAATCGGGCCAAGAGCTTTACTAACTAGTCAGACAGAAGATTTAAGTAATTAAGTCGGATAAATAAAGGAAGTATTACTAGGGAATCACTGACTACCCACCAGAATTTATTCAGAAATATATGAAGCACCATAGAGGAATTAGGACTAGCAATAAAAGTGACGAAGATAACGAGAATAATATAGAGTTCAAAGTCTCTGTAGTACTGCCGTATGAAAAAGGAACGTTAGAGGCTTTACGTTTTGGATTTTCAGTGAGTCTGGAATTACAGTGGCATTTTAAATCAACTGACCAACCAACCAGCTAACTCTCTCAGAGATAAACTTTGTCAGTTGAAGGACCCAATAGATCCAATGAAAAAAATAATATAATTTACCAAATATCATGTAATGCTGACTGTGTGGTCAATTGAGTAGATCGAACTAGTAGATCAGGATCAGTTAGATTATTGGAACATAAAAATTTAGTCACCTAGACACCTACAGAGCTCAGCCATCACACTGCAGTGCATTCACTTGGATGCAATCACAAAATAGGGTGGGTGGGACAGGGTGAGAGTATGAAAACGTAATATAGTTCCGTGGAGCGAGAGACATGGAGGTTAATCACTGAAACTTTGTTTATCGATTCAACGCCGCACACATGCTATCGGAGTGACGCAACAAACAACAAAAGGAAGTTGGAGAGACAGAATGAGAGAAAATATGTAAGACAAATTGTGAAAACGTCTGACTAAAATTGATATGATTATGAGCAGCAGTAAATTGTGCTCGAAACGTTATCCAGTTGTTAATACCGCATCATCGCTGTGTGATATTTAATTTTAATTTGTCTTATATGAGGATTATGCATTATTGAAGTAGACATAAAGTCCAGTCAGCCAAGAGACTCTTTTCAAGGTAATTTATTATCAAGCCGTACAATCGTATATATATATATATACATATACAGCTTGATAGTAGATTCATTGAAAAGAGTCTCTTGGCTGAATATTGTGTTCTTTATGTTACAAATTATTGATATAGATATATATTACAAATGTCTTCTAGCTGGTTCATTGTCTTCTCTTTCCGGTGAATGCATCGTAGAGGAAGTGTAGGTATTATTATTCCCTACTAACTGTAGTAGGGGAGTAAGAAGATGGTGATTGTGGGTAAAGGAGAATGATGCTCAGGGGAGGGGCTTCGTGTGCTCTTGGAAGTGTATGTGGGCACTGGTTACCTCCCGGTTGCCCACACCATGGAAGTTGATTTATTATTGCAGAACCTGAAACAGAAAGAGAATTGATGTTGCATAATCGTAGAGCCAAGGTGACAACTGCTTGAGGCCGGTCACACACGGACTGGCTTTTAGGTTTGGTTCCATACTAATAACTTACCGCGGGCTACGGACCACCGTATGGTAAGTTGGGACTACAGTTTTTGGGTTCAACCTTTTCTAACCTCACCCGCCCTCCACGTGTCTGCGTTCTATCTCCGACGTGAAGTGGTATAATAGGGTGAGCAATACTGAGGTTAGGTGTCGAGTGCTAGGTAAGGAAGGGTAATCAATCCACAAGATTGTGAAGTGACATCGACTGAGACGGTTACGACATGTGTTACGTATGCCTAGTCATCGCCTTCCTCGACGGGCAATGTTAGCTGACGTAGGGTCAGGTTAAACCAAAACATGGCGGCATCAGTCAATGAAATCCACAACAGTTAGTTTAAGCCAGTCAAGTAGGAAGGTGTAGACTTGGTGATATGGCTCGAAACCGTTCTCAATGGTGGCGCAGATGCATCCACTCATTATGACTCATAATATTCAATAAAACTCTATTGTTCTTCCATATTACTAGTATTCTTTTTCCCTCACTCACACTTCCGTTTATTATCTCTCTCTATTTTGAATCTCTCTTTACTCTCTTCACTTGCTTTGTGTGGTGCAAGAAGGGAGAGTGGCAAATTGAAGTGCTGCACATCTGTGCAAAGTGCTCTATTGAAACCAGTCAGTCAGTCAGTACTCTTCACTCTTCAATCCAAAATATAGACAGGAAGTATTAGAGAGGTCAAGCTGGAAAAGAGCTAGCGGCGGTCAAACCAAAACATGGCACCAGTCAATGAAATCTACAACAGTTAGTCTAGGTCACGTAGGAAGGTGTAGACTTCCTGATTGGTTGGCGTCCTCGGGACGGTAAAAACCAATGGTTGGAAACAATTGGTGACATGGCTCAAAATTGTTCTCAGTGGCTGGTGCAGATGCATCCACTTCTTGTGACTCATGATTTCCAATGAAACTGTTTTGTTCTTCGTTATTACTACTTACTTTTTTTGTCTCACACCTCTGTTTACTGACTATATTATGCATTTCTTCTACTTTCTTCTCTTGATTTGTGTGCTACATGGAGGGAGTATGGCGACTTGAACTGCCGCACATATTTGCAAAGTTCTATGTCGAAAACAGACAAACAGCAAACTTGTTTAACAAAAAGATGGCCTCAGTACAGGCACACGGTCAAAGGCGTCAAATGTGTAACCAATTAATATTGCAAAATGAAACACTTACCATACAATCAGGAAAATCAAATTGTCCAGGATCTAAATATCTTGAAATATCACGTAGATTACACTTGGATTTCAGTAGTCTAGAGACAGTATGCTCATATTCACTCGCGTTATTTGAATCCGATAATGATCGTGATTTCAGTGGACCATTATTATTATTATTATTATCATTATCATCCTTATCACCAGCATCACTATCATCACTGAGAATGAATTCTTCCTCTTCAAAGATACTTTCATCATATTCAACATCATCATCGTCACCAGCATTAATATGATCAGTATCTGAAGGATTCGCCTCCTCCTCTTCCTTCTCCTCCTGCTCCCTCTTCTTCTCCTCACATTTTACGCTTTCATTCGCTGGACGACACATTGAATAGAAGAGTTCACGATTAGCTAATAATTGATGCAGTTGTTCTAGCATACAGCTTGCTTTACGTTTATACTTCAACAAGGGGAGTTTCTTAATCCATACACTTAATTTTGCTTCTCCAATATTAGAACTTGACACTTGTTGTTGTTGTTGTTGAGTACTATTCAGTGAAAGTTGTTCCTCTGTTGGTAGAAATCCTGTACTTATTCCAACATGAATCAATTGTATCACAGAGTCGGTAATTGATGCTAACATTGACTCAAAATTAGTCGATTTTTTATCATCATCATCAGCATCACCGTCTGTGAAGAATACATCAACATTGAAACGTCCATTGATTAATTCACTGACTAATTCATGACTGAATAAACAACAAATTGATTGACTGTTTTCGATATCATTATCGATGGTGTTGTTGTTGTTGATTAGTAAGTCAATGACACGTTTAGCTGTATCATCTGCATTCCCATCCCCATCACCATCATCACTAAGAATATCAGAGTTGACATCGAGGAGTCCTCCTATACCGACGTTTTCCTCTCTACTATTATTATCATAATTATTGGATGATTGAATAAATTTCAGACCAAAGAAATACTTATATAAATCGCTAAATGCATTAGATAATTGTTTACATGAACTGTTGATCAATTTCTTAACGGCGGCTTTCGTCTTTGTCTTCTCCTTCGCTACGTCTTCGTTCTACGCCTCCTCGTCCTCCACTGCCTCTGCGTGTTTCTATATCAGTACTCTTATGACTAGAACGACTATTATGACTGTCATTATTGACTCCTTCTGCACTCCTTTTATTACTAATATTAGAAGTAGTGGTACTAGTAGTAGTAGTAGTAGTACTCGTATTTGGTGCTATTAACAGTAGATTGAAGTAGCATAAGACACCACGGTTAGCCGCAGCAGTAGAAGCCGTTTTCCCACGATTATTACTACTACTAGCAGTACTATTCACTGATACGTCGATATCCAATTCATCATGGAGCGACTCATTAATCAATTGGCACTACAAACACAAAAACAAAACAAGAAAGAAAGAAAGGAGAAAATGAGGAGAGACAATAATTACTGCGAGTATATAATATGTTATGCAATATTGTATGAAATCATATTAATATATATGTGTGTAAAACTTGGGCACTACTGTGGTAGTAAGTAATTCCAAATTAGTTACAGGATTTCATCATGAGCTGACATTGGTTAGAGAACCATTGGTAGACCTGCAGGGAGTACTGGACAGCTGTTTCGTCCTAGTTTGGGACGAAATCCCTACAAACCAATACTTGAATATCAATGAGATGCTCACTGGCGACTGGCCCTATTCAGGTAGTACGTATTTACCTGGGGTTCCAATGGGAAGTGACCAGTAGGGTGCATCCGGTCAGGTGTGAGGACAAATACTCGCCGAAGACATTGGCTAGCGGTTGCGCTATATCGTGAATTGGCAGAAGTTAGAATTCATGGGCCATTGGATCGGGTCTCAGTGGCTTAATGGTATACGAGCTCGCCTTCTAACCAGAAGGTCCTGGGTTCGAACCCCGGTGGGTGCGTGCTGCTGAAGAGTCCCAAACTGGGCTGACGAAACAGTTGTCCAGTACTCCCTGCAGGTTTACCAATGGTTCTCTAACTGATGTCAGCTCATGATGAAATCCTGTTACCAATCAACTAAATCCCTACAAACCAATACTTGAATTCCAAATTAGTTTCTTCATTAGATGTATGATAGTCAGTGAAACAGTATTATTTACTGGGATGACAAAGTTTCGAACAAAATTTATTACTGTTCATAATCATTTCATCAATTATAATCACACGACTTCGAAACTTCAGTTTTTTAATAGTTTTCATTGTTCTCTCCTATTTATCGTCTTAGGTAGGGGTAGTAGAATTTTCCAGATGTCCGGGTGAGTGGACAGGTGTTGAATCATTCATTCCTATTACAGTGTTCGCAGTTGATTCGATAAACAAAGCTGACGGTATTAATCCTGCTCCCTCTACTCTTGGTGAAATGTTTAAGTAATAAGGTCACAAAATCTAAGTATTAACAAGCAAAATTTAAGACAGGAAGTCAGGCATATAAGAGAAGCTTTGAAACTTAATTGATAATTACCCTGGTAAATTAATCAGAAAGTATGTAGGGAAATATAAAAATAAAATCTATAATAATAATGGTAGTGATAGTGATAATAGTAATAATAATATTAATGACGACATGCATGTCAAACATGCACAGGATAATGACAACACCAACAATAGGGGATTTAAATCATCAGTAGTACTTCTTCCCATACAAAGAAGGAACTTCGGAAACCCTACGGCGGAGAATTATTAACAATGCAGGCAGGAATAAAAGTGGTTGACATTCAAACCACTCACAAACTCAATTAGAAACAAACTTTGTCGGTTGAAAGACCAATCCTGTGAAGCCAATTAAACGAAACAGTTTAGTTTATCTAGTACCCTGCCTGCAATGATCGTCAGGTCAAATACATAGGTGGAAGTAGTAGAACAGGTGAAGTCAGTCAGACTAGCGGAGCACAAAAACCCAGCAGCTAAATCTAGCTTAGTTGACCAGAATAAGATAAGAAATCTGGAGAACAGTTCAGCTATAGCACTCACTACATGCAATTACACACAACCAAACAATAGGATGGGATACGATGACAGTTTTAAAATCTAATGTCACAGGGTGGGGGAAGAGATTGATAACGAACGCTTTGTTTATCGAATCAACAACAAATACGTGTAATAGAAATGATTCAACACCTGTCCACTCACCCGGACATCTGGAAAATTCTACTACCCCAACGACGATAAATAGGAGGGAACAAAGAAAATTATCAAACCAAAGTTTCGAAGTCATGTGATTATAACTGATGAAATAGTTATGAACAGCAATAGATTGTGTTCGAAACCTTGTCATCCAGCAAATAATACTGTTTCACTCAGTGTGATACATCTAATAAACAAACTAATATGGAAGTGTGAAATGATGTTAATATATGTGTGCAAGTTAGGCACTACTTTGGTGTGGTAGTATGTAATTCCATATTGATTTGTTTATTAGATGTTACACACACAGTGAAGTAGTATAATTATTTACTGGATGACGAAGTTTCGAATACAATTCATCACTGTTCATAATCATATCATTAATTATAGTCAGATGACTTCGAAACTTCAGTTTTTTAGTTTTCTTTATTCTCCTCTATTCGTTGTCATCGTAGGTGGCGGTAGGAGAAACTTCCAGGTGTCCCACTGAACAGGTGTTGAATCATTCCTATTACACGTGTTTGCAGTTGATTCGATAAACAAAGCGTTCGTTATCAATCTCTTCCCCCACCCTGTGACATTAGATTTTAAAACTGTCATCGTATCCCATCCTATTGTTTGGTTGTGTGTAATTGCATGTAGTGAGTGCTATAGCTGAACTGTTCTCCAGATTTCTTATCTTATTCTGGTCAACTAAGCTAGATTTAGCTGCTGGGTTTTTGTGCTCCGCTAGTCTGACTGACTTCACCTGTTCTACTACTTCCACCTATGTATTTGACCTGACGATCATTGCAGGCAGGGTACTAGATAAACTAAACTGTTTCGTTTAATTGGCTTCACAGGATTGGTCTTTCAACCGACAAAGTTTGTTTCTAATTGAGTTTGTGAGTGGTTTGAATGTCAACCACTTTTATTCCTGCCTGCATTGTTAATAATTCTCCGCCGTAGGGTTTCCGAAGTTCCTTCTTTGTATGGGAAGAAGTACTACTGATGATTTAAATCCCCTATTGTTGGTGTTGTCATTATCCTGTGCATGTTTGACATGCATATCGTCACAATTATTAATATTATTTGTTCTACATTTATTTTATATATAAGTGAGGTATATAAGAGAAGCTTTGAAACTTAATAATTACACCCTGATAAATTAATCAGGAAGTATGTAGAAAAATTTAAAAAGAAAATAAATAATAATAGTAGTGATAGTGTTAATAATAATCATAATTATAATACTAGTGACGGCATGCATGCCAAACATACACAGGATAATGACAACACCAACAATAGGGAATTTAAGTCATCCGTCACCGGCACATTGCCATCTGACTCTGTCTTCTGAAGTCCTATTTAACCGGCTCCACGATTGTCCATAAGCTCTCATCTCCTTCATGTCAACCTCGGACGACGACGCCACCGCCACCACCGCCTGGTACACGATTTCACTCAACAGTCCTTTCAGTGTGTCTCTGATTCATTTCCAGTTCCTACTGCATATTTATTGGGTGATAAACTCTCGGTTGGTTCGTTCCTAGAGTTCTTTGTCGCTTTCTTACTTTCTTCCTGACCATCTACTCTTCAGTACAGAGTGAAGGCAGCTGTCAGAAGTGCTTTCCGTGACGCACCAAGTTTCTGACCCACATAGAAGAACTGACTGACTTAACATTGGTGTTGAAAATAAGCCTTTCGTTCTTTATGCTGAGTGGAGGAGATTCCCAAATTGATTTCAGATTGATGAAGGTCTATCTTGCCTTTTTGATCCTGACTTTCACACATCCTCATCTATACCACCTACTTGTAGTTGAAACGAGGCTAACTGGATAAGCGGACTAGTGGTGACCCCGTTCAAATTTCACCCGTTGATAGTGGTTGGTGCTTGTTGTCGTTTAAGTATTTCCACTATATCTGCCTTGAAATCCTTCCACTCTTCGCTGCCAGCTCTTCTACTAACTGGTTGATTTTCAACTGTTAGTCTTCGAGTTTATGCGACATTAGACCACAAATCGTCTGCGAATTCCAGATTTTCAGGAGTTTTCTTATCGATCCCCACAGTCTGTTGTGTGATCCAGTCTATCACAGTTAGGAATATCATCGGTGATAGTAGGTGGACAGCCTTATCCTACTTCTGTTTTCATTTCGAAGGCTTCGTTGAATTTTCCGTTTTTTCGAGGCTCAGAAGAAGAGTATCATTTCCTTCACGGTTGTGGAGACGCCAATCAACGTCAACGACTTATCACCGATTACCTCTTTCCACTTTACATAAATTCCACTTGTGTACAAAATATACACAAAATTACTGAACTTTTTAAATTAAACGTTATTCAAATATATTTTTAAAAATGACAACTGTATAACACGCACGATATACTACTGATTGATTGATTTGAGTAGTTAGTTAGCCAGTCAATCCGAATAGAAGTGATCTAAACACCGTACGCCACCCGCCGTTTCGCCCATTTATAGCCTAACTTGTTAACGGTACACACACAGAGTTCGACTCAGTTCACACAACCGCCGAATCGGTGGTATACAACACAACACAACACAACTACTCATCTTTGTCGATCAGCAAGTAGTGTATGGTGGCATTCATTGATGCTTGATTGCTTGCCTACTGGATTAATGGGGTGATAAAAGCAGATCACATGGGCACAGTGAGTGATTTGAGTAATTTCTAAAATCGAACAGAAACAAACTAACCTTCAACTCTGGCCAACCCATTTCTGAACCGGATACACATGGGACCTTTTTAAGCCAAGGTTTAAAGATGTACGTCCAAATTTGATTGAACAATTCATAAATACGAGTCTGTATGTAATCACAGAAAGAGAAGAAGAAAGAAAAATTAATGTTAGGGGAAACAATAAATAGTTCAAGCTACACATTCTCTCTTGGTGTTAGTAGTGCCTTCTTCTTCTTCTTCAAATTAGATATCCCTTCCTTGAAACATACTGAAATCGTGGTGAGAGCTGGCTGCGAGAGGTAGTCAGATTGTCGGAACATAAGAATTTAGTTAAGGTTAGAATGATTGATCCTATGAAGATAAGTAATTTAGAAAGACAAACTCAGCGATCGCACTACAGGCAACAACACACAACCACACAATAGCGTGGTTAGAGAAGGTTAAAATTCTAAAAAGTAATATAAGTAGGCGGAGAGAGAGAGAGATTGATTACAGAATTCTGGCTCATCGAGTGAATCTACACCCAACACATGCAACAGAAATGACTCGACGTAAATACCAGAGATGTAGAAGATAATATTACCAATCAAATCAGAGGATAATAATTAACGTTAAAATGTTTTTAATTCAATTCACATTATAACATTCTAACAAGTTATTTATATATTTTACTATAAAAGCATCTTATTTCCCATCTGATTGATAACACTAATATTATTATTTCTGAATGTACTTTATCTTATATTAATTGGTTTTATTCAAATGTCTAATCATCAACTTGTACTCATGTGTGTAAACGAAGCAAGAAGGCTGTGTGAGTAATGCCTTGATATGATGATTATGAGCAGTAATAAATTGTGCTCGAAACGTGGTTATCATCAGTAAATATTACTCACTGTATAACACTACGGTGTGATTTTATCAAAATAAAATTTTATCTATAATGGAGTACTTGAAGTTCTCAGATCTTTCAACTGAAATCAATCGTGAATTTTATTTCTATTCTTGATGTTGGATTCTCTTTTTTCGCTTTCTCTAATAAGACATCACCAGCACAAATCACTACTACTATGGTGAGAGCTGGCTGCCAACAAGCCGAAAATTGTAGACAACAATTTCCGTCAATGTCCACGTCCCGAATCGGGGTCATGAGAAAAAAGATAATAACAAAGCTTAACCTTGAGGAACTCTCCACCAACCAATCACACAGCAGACTTAACGTGTGCAAATATGTTTCGCAGATATATATATATGGCTTAACTTTCTGAGAAACGGTCGGTCACAAGCAGTACAGAATAACCTTCAGTAAGAAAACAAGCAATCAGAAGAGACGTTGCTTCTCCGCTGACAATAATGTACATAAAAATCTATAAATATCTCTTGATTTTCTCAATAAACAATCTGTTGCCTAGCCCTTGTCTTCTGTCGTTACGAAATATCCGCTCTCACCGCCAGGTATCTTACAACCTTACATTGGCGTAAACCTGGCTCTTTCCCCTCCGAGGAACCTTACTAAGACAATGTTGAGCTTGTCGAGTTCTACAAATTGATAGTTGGCTTGTCATATAACTCTCACTTCTATTTTTCCACCTACTGTTTATCTTGCGAAATCACCCAATAGGAGCAGGCTTCAGCCTATGGTGAACTTTTCAAAGTTCCTTAACCTCGAGTAGGAATGTCCCTTTTGGCTCTTCCTTATACCATTCGAGTGCATTTCGGATGGTCTTTCTTCTGGTATTAGTGCCTGTGTGTGTGCACAGAAATGATAACTTCAGTCTGAATATTGCCGTTTCGCTTTTCACCTCCAATGGACACACACGCACACGTGAAACCAACTTCCAACCCAGCATCAATGGCACTATGATTACTCGTGATTTTCAGCACTATCGCCGGCCAACGTCACTGGGGAATACTTGTCCACAAAACAAGATCAGGTGGGCTCTGGCGGTCACAACTACCTGCTAAAACTTCAGACAACTTTGTTCTGTAGTCAGCCAGTCAGTCAGTCATTAGTAAACATCAAGTGTTGGTTTGTAGGGATTTGATTGATCTCAAGTTCGATCACTGATTGACATCAGTTAGAGAAGCATTGAAATCCAGTACTGGAGTACTTGACATCTTTTTCGTCCTAGTCTGGGACTCTTCATCCGTGCGCATCTATGGTCCCATAGCTATGGAGATTGAACCCAGAACTATCAGATTACAAAACCAGCTCGTTAACCATTCACAGTCACTGGCACGGAATTCAACAGTCCATCAATTCTTTAATTCTGATAATTCAGAATTTTAGCGTCATTGAGAGTCACACCAAATCTGCTGAACTATAATAGTCATGACTTTCTATGGTGTACTCTACTAACTGATATCAGTCAAATCAAATGTCTGTAGCTTACCGTCTAGTCGGCCATTGGTCTGCAGAAGCCTTAAGGACAAAATATCGTATCTGACCATTTCTATGTGTATATATTAGTTCATCTGTTGCTCTGAAGTCAGGTGCATCGGTCGTTCAAAGCGTATTCTATCTAAAAAGGTTCAAGAACACTACCTCACTACATGGTTGGTTCTATAAGGAGTGCGATAATCGAAAACTTTGTGTCAACAATATATCAGGCAAGGCTTCAACCAACCTCAAGGACAACCTGAACAGGGCGATATGATTTCTCATTGTATCTTGCCAACTGCTGACAATTTCGAATAAAATGCCAAAAGATATTCACATACTTTTAATTAAATGACCTGTGTACAACAAGACATGCGATTCGCCCCCTTGCTCAAATGTTAAATATGATAACGCTACAGGACTGGAATACATCGACTCACTCCTAGCTTAAAGATAAGCAGGAGTGAAGTAGTAGTGCCTGAGAGTATTGGCCACATACTTCACTTGTTTGGGCTGGCTGGCTGGATTCAACATAAGCAAGTAAATATGGTATGAGCATTGTGGGATAAGTGAAGCTATTTAAAAAGATTATGCCGGTAACCGGCAAAAATAGGTTTAGTTCAGTGTCTATATAATCGGGCCAAGAGCCTTCTCTGTCTGTCTGTCTGGATTCAACATAGAACTTGGCACCGAAGTGCAGCAGTTCGAGTTGCCACGTTCCAAATAGCACACAAAGGTAGACAAGAAAATGAGTGAAGAGAATCAATAGAGTTTTGACAAGCATAAGAGTGAAACAGAATGAGTAATGGTAGAAAGGAATATGAAAGATTACAGAGCTGAATACATCTGAGCCATTGACAATGATTTTGGGTCATGTCACCTATTGTCTCCAGCCAGTGATTCTTAGAGTCCCGAGGGCCCCAACCCGGAAGTCTGCATCTCCCTACCTGACTCAGTTTAACTGTCAAGGATTTCATGGATTGATGCCATGTTTTGTTTGGCCACCGCTTACTCTTTTCCAACCTGCACCTATATCAGCTAGTAATGCCCGTCGGGGGAGGCGATGGTTAGGCATGCGCAGCACGTGACCTGGCCATCTCAACCTATGTAACTTTATAGCCTCGTTGATTGATTTTCCCTCTTTGCCCAACACTCTACGCCTAACGTCAACATTACTTACCTTATTATGCCACACAACGTGAGAAAGAGATCGTAGACATCCATGATCAAAAACAGTCAACCTTTTCACGTCTTCGACTCGTATTGGCCATGTTTCAGAGCCATAGAGAAGGACGGAGCGAACTGCTGAGCAGTACACAGTCTTGGTTGATATGGGATGTCACGCCTACGCCAGAGATGGTGTAAGTTAGCGAAAGCAGTCCGAGCTTTTTGGATCCATGCTGAGATTTCGTCACCAATCAATCCGTTGGTGTTGATACAACTTCCCGAATAGGTGAAGTGGTCAACATTCATTTGTTTGGGAAGTGACATCAGCCAACTCCAACGGGTTGATCGATGATGAAAACCCACCAATAGATACAAAAACCTAGTTTGGCATATGCCAACTCACGACCATCGATCAAACGACGTGTATACTGCTTAACAGTTCGCTACACCGTTCTTTATGACCATTCACAGTGAAAGACATGAAAAGCCTGTCTAGTTAGCTATCCTTGATCATAGGTGTCTGCGTTCCATCTCCCGTGTTAAGTGGTGGCATAGTATAATGGAGTGAGTAATTTTGAGTTGGCCAGGCGTCGAGTTGCAGATAAGCATGGGAAGTCAATCGACGAGATTGTGAAGTTACATTGATTGAGATGGATAGAACATGTGTATCTCATGCATTCCTTCCTCGACGACAGGCAATTTTAACTGACACAAGATCAATGAGGTTGTTGGAAAAGACCTAGTGGTTGGTGGTCAAACCAAAACTTGGCAGCATCAGTCAATGAAATCCATAAGTTAGTTTAAGCTAAGCAACCAGCCAGCCAGCCACGTAGGGAGGTGTAAACTTCGTAACTGGTTGGTCGGGGTCCTAGGGATGGTAAGAACCAGTGAAGTTGAAGTAAACTGATGGATGGTGACTGACTAGCAACGGAATTCACCAGGATGCGCATTTCGTCCTATTTGGGACTCGTCAGTCAGTGGATGTACCTCCATTCTTCAGTGGATAGTAGTGGATAGTGTTCCCACCGAAGATCGAACCCAGTACCCATAGTTTCAAACGCCAAAGTGTTGTCCACGAGAGCCACTTCTTGTGCAGCAAGGATCAGTAGTTATCCACTTCAATTTGGACTTTCCAATTGATTGATTGATTGGACTGAAGTGCTCAGCCTCGGGTTGACATGTACGATAACATGACGTATACCTGTCTTCTCACCCCCCGCCACAGTTTGCTGCTTAATGATCCAGTCGACCATTATATCAGGAATATGATCAGTGATAGTAGGCAGCCTTGTCTTATTCTTGTCTTCACTTCAAAGACTTCGTTGAGTTTTAAGCCGTAATTCACTTAGCATCTGGCATCATTATCATCATATCGCTAATGAATGCGGTTTATAAAGGTTTAGGGTACTCCGTAGTATTCATGTAGGCTCCAAATTACTTTAAGGTTGACGCTATTAATGGCCTTTTCAAAGTCGATGAAGTTGAGGCCCTCTGTTCGATGATGGTATGTAGAGTTACAATTTGTTGAATACATGAACTTTTTTTTCTGAATCTCACTTATTTCGAAAGAACTGAGTTTTCTATCTGGCGCACCTTTACTGTCCCTCTCTCTTTCTCCCTTTCCAGGATGATGAGAATTGACATGGACAGAAGCATGATTCCGTGCCAGTCTTCTGCAAAGGTTCAAGTTTTAATCTTCCTTCTTCTTCTTCCTTCCAAACTTTTCGCAATACTGCCGTGAACATATCCACCAAGGTTAATTATATACCTCTGATTAACAGTCAAATAGAGTTTAATTCGTGGATGGTGACTAGCAGAGGAATCCAGGATGTGCATTTCGCCCGATTTGGGATTCGTCAGCCAGTGGATGTACCTGCATTCCCCAGCGAGTGATTATGTTCCCACCGAGGCTCGAACCCCGTACCCTCAGTTTCAAACTCCAAAGCGTTATCCACTAGACCACTTGGGCCACGAGAGCCACTTTCTCTTGTGCAACGGGTCATATAATTATTTAATTGAATTTTTTAGATTTTCTCATCGATTGATTGGACCGAAGTGTTCGGTCTCAGGTTGACATGTCGGCTTCTTGTGCAGATGCTTTGACGATGAATGGGCATTTAATTTGAATTTAATTGGTGGATGATGATGACTAGCAGTGGAATCCACTGGGATGCGCATTTCGTCCTATTTGGGACTCGTCATCTGGATGTATGACCCGTTGCACAACAGGCGGCTCTCATGGCTCAAGTGGTCTAGTGGATAACACTTTGGCGTTTGAAACTATGAGCACTGGGTTCGAACCTCGGTGGGAACATCATCCACCACTCTCACTAGGGAGCGTAGGTACATCCACTGGCTAACGAGTCAATTCCAAATAGGACGAAATGCTCATCCTGTATTCCCCTGCTAGTGACCATCCACCAATTAAATTCTAATTACATTCCCAGACATCGTCGAAGCATCTGCACAAAGAGACGCCGACATGTCAACCTGAGACCGAGCAGAACTTCCGTCCAATCAGTCGATGGGGAAATCTAAATAAATTCAATTAGATAAATAACAGTCAAACGGTTAGACGACAGCTAAAGTACATAGCCAACCACCAACCAACTAACCAGTCAACCAATCAACCAATGAATCAAAGAAAAAAAAATCCAAAAAGACAGAAATTGTTCAGAACAACACATTTAAGCGAACAATATTATGGTTTCAATTAGATCCCATCAGGCTTAACTCTAATATATATAAGTTTACAAATAAAAATTCATAAAGAAACATATTAAAACATCGGAGAAAAAATCGGAGACTCTGACTGCACGTAAAAAACCTCTATTTATTAAGTTACAATTTAATGGTGACTTATAACGTGAGGATTTATTCCAAAGACTTTCAAGGAGTATACAAAGAACATTTTATGCAGCAAACCTATGTTTGTCATTCTCTAGCCGACGAATGATTCGGACGCAAACGAAGGATAAGCTTGATAGTTTCGCCACATCTATGTGCATTTATCAATTCAACTGCACCTGCGGTGACAGTTATGTTGGACGTATTACTAGACAGTTTAGCCAACGTGTTAGTGAACATCTCCCATCGTGGTGTTTTGGCAAAGGACAGACAAAAACAATCCGTAACTCTATTTTGTCACACTTAATTGATAGTGGTCATGTAGTGGAGAAAACGACAGCCTTCAAAGTAATTCATCGTATCCCACCGAATCTTTCCAATAGACTTTGTATTCGTCTACTGCACGCACACAGCTGAGGCGATAGACATTCGAACTATTATGTATGCAATTATGTATTCAAAAGAAGTTCGTACAGCCTTTATCCCTCGACTGGCCTATTAATACGTAACCAACTAGTGACCTCTACACCACCCTTTGTTTATATTTTCATCCCCTTTCTTATCATCCCTTAATCTAATCTTCATTATAAACGTGTTTCATTTCCCTCCCTTACAATCTAACATTACTTAATCGGTTCATTTGTTTTTACTAGCCTTTATCGACTACTTCCACCTGAACATTTGTTTGTTTAATCATGCTGTTTTTCATTATTCGTGTTATCACAGATTGCCTCACTTTTTCATCCTTATTATTGACAAGACCATTTTTATTATTACTATTATTATCATTACTATTATTATGACTAATTGCACAATTTATATTCACCATCGTATTATCCTATAGAATTCGGATTTTCATAACAAACAAACGTCAAGTCAGTTCTTCAATACGAATCAGAAACGTGGCGGGTCACAAAGAATATTTCCAACAGCCTGTTGCAGACCTTTATCAACAACTGTCTTCGCTCTATACTCAAGATCAGATGGCCACCGGAAAGAATCACCAACAAGAAACTATGGGAACAAACAAGACAAGAACCAATCGCTCAACAAATATGCAGGAGAAAGTGGAGATGGATTGGACACTCGCTGAGGAGGCCGTTGGGGGACATCGCGCGTCAGGCCATAGCTCGAGTGGAACCCGAAAGGGAAGCGGCGAGTGGGACGTCCAAGGGTGACATGGAGGAGATCGTCTGAAGAGGAACTGAAACAGTATAGACTAACATGGATGCAAGTGAAAAGTACAGCAGAAGACAGGAACAAGTGGAGACGTGCAGTTGAAGCCCTATGTTTCACTAGGAACCCAAGGGAACAATGATAATAATAATATAATAATTATCCTATAAACAAAACACCATGATTGGTTTATATTTGAATTGTTATTTGTAAACTTATATATATAAGAGTTAAGCCTGATGAGAGATCTAATTGAAACCACAATATTGTTCAATTAAATGTGTTCTTCTACATTTTACTATAGGAATATTTAATATATAGAAATTGTTAGTTAACTAACCTTAGACTCTTCTAAAGCTTCAATAATTCTCAACAACTGACATATTAATCCAGGCTTGGCCAATATTTTAAGACTAGCCAATACAGAAGATTTTCCACATAGCGGAATAGTCGCCGGTAGATCATCATTATCCGACGACAGACGATAAAAAAATGAATCAAATAGGGAATTTGGATTATTCAGTGCTTTTCCCATGTGAGCTACTGACGGTACACAAGCGTTGAATGAAAAACTGAAAAAATCATTCGATTCCACCTGTTCATGAATTGATGGATAGGGTATATTGACATTAGAAAATGGTGTTACATCTTTTTGTTTCGACGGCAACTCTAGAATAATCCATCGACACCATAACTCATCGACAACTTGAACAAGAAGATCCTTAGGGATAGAAAAAGGCAAAATATAAAATTTTTAAAAATACAGCGGGTCAGGCGTGAGGACAAATACTCGCTGATCGGAAGGAGTTGGAATTCATCATCTGACCACTGGATCGGCTTCCAGTGGTTTAATGGTCTGCAATTTCGCTAGTCTTGTAACCGGAAGGGTTCTTGGTTCGAAGTCTGACGGTGGGTGTGTAGTGATGAAGAGTATCGAACTAGGACGAAACAATTGGCTATCCAGTACTCTCGACTAGCTTTCCAATGGTCCTCTAATCGATATCAGCTCATGATGAAATCCTGTAATAAATGATATGCTAGGCGTAAATAAAAGTTGAAGCATATCAAAAACCGTCATTACTTTGATGACCTTAGTACATTTCGAGAGGTTATCACACACCTATACCTCCTAGTTTACCAATCTTAGAGAGTACCTGGAACAGGAAGCGAATTAGTACTGCATGACCGCAGAGCCCAAGGGACAAGTGCTTGAGACCAGTCACACACACATGGCCTTACTGAATTCGTTATTAGAATTGCGTCCGTATTTCGAACCTACCACCGTAAAGTAAGTCGGAATTTACCATCTTTCGCCGCTTGATGGTCATCTGAATGGAAAAACACCTTACTTGCTCTTACATCCCTGTTCTTTAGCAGTACGACTTTGCTCACAGACCCCCTCCCCACATAGTGTAAACATTTACACAATGCCGGTAACTGCCTTTATTGGTCTAATCGCTACCCAAAAATCCTTCTTGGTACAGTAGAACCTTCTAAAAACGTTACCTCCAGCCAGTGTAGCTTGTTGCGTCATCACGATATGCAAGCCCGATCACCATGTCACGGTAGTAAAGATAATAGTCAGGAGGTAATAGCGCTATCCATTAAACTCTGTTGTTTTTCCCCATGTTACAATTCTTCCTTTCTCTCTCTCTCTCACACACACACACATTTGTGTCATTATGATTGTCCTTCTGAAATATCCTTTATTCTCTCGAACTGTCTTTCTTTATATGCTACATCGAATGTAAAAGCTCGAACTGGCACACTTCTATGCAAAGTTCTATGTTGAAACCAGTTAGTTAGTTAGTTAGCAAATTAGTCAGATTTATTAGTCAGTTATAAGTTCGAAAAAGAAGGAAGGTTGCGAATGAGGCTAGCAACCCCAACACCTCTACTGAAAAGAAGGATAGGCCTGTTACTTTTGCACACAGTGAATTATAACTAACATCATTATTGAATAATAATAATTCATCGACTTTGAAAAGGCCTTCGACAGCGTTGATCGAGAGGTGCTTTGGCAACTACTTCGCTACTACGGGTTGCCACTGACAATTACACATCTCATCCAACAGCTGTACGACAATGCTGCATGCCAATAATCCACAACGGGAAACTTACGGAATCCTTCGAAGTGAGGACGGGAGTAAGACAAGCTGGCTGCCCACTATCGCCAATGATTCTCCTGATTGCGATAGACTGGATAATGCGACAAACAGCGAGCAATGAGGAAACAGGAATAAAATAGACTCACACAAAAAACTTGGAGGATCTGGACTTGACCGATGATATATGTTTGATTTCCCACAAACTGGAAGATATGCAAGCGAAAATCAACAAGTTGGCAGAAGAAGCATCAAAGATAGGACTTCAGGTGAACATAGAGAAAACAGCGGTGATGAAGATTCCTGGGCAACACCACCAACAGCAACAACAACGACAGACAACAATCAGCATAAATGGGAGGAACCTGAAAGAAACAACCTCTTTTACCTACCTGACTACCTGGGAAGCATCGTTTCAACTACAGGTGGAACTGACGAGGATATCAAAGCAAGAATAGGAAAAGCAAGACAAGCTTTCATCACTCTTAAGTCTGTGTGGAGGTCAACAGCACTCAGCATCAAAAATAACATCCGGATTTTCAACTCCAATGTGAAGTCAGTCAGTTCTATACTATACGGATCAGAGACTTGGCCAGTGCGTCACAAAGAGCATCTCAAACAAACTACAGACCTTCATTAACAGTTGTCTTCGCTCAAGATCGAAAACCGACCGACCGACCGATCAGATGGCCAGCCAGAAAAGATCAGCAACAGGGATCTCTGGCAATGAGCGAACCAACCCAGAAGGAACCGATTGTGAAACAAATAGGCAGGAAGAAATGGAGATGGATTGGCCATATTCTGAGGAAACCATCAAGTGACATCACTAGACAAGCCATTGCTCGAGTGGAACCCGGACGAAAAGTGGCGAGTTGGTCATCCAAGGATGACCAGGAGGAGGTCATGTGAAGAGATGAAAGCGTGTGGGCAGACTTGGAGCCAGGTGAAAACTCTAGCAGGGAACCGAACGCAATGGAGACGCACGGCTGAAGCCCTATGTTCCTCTAGGCATTAAAGGAAACAATAATAATAATTATTGAATAATATTTGAAATGAAAGTTATAAATCAGTTAACGCTGCCTGCCTTTATTCAGTTCACTGTGGACTTATGTGAAGAATCGCCAATCAAGTAATTAAAAGAGACGAAATATTTCATCAATGCTTTACCTCACTTGTTTAAAATTAAACCGTGCACTCAAGTTATTGCGATTCAGTGATGATGAAGTAAGCTTCAGAAATCAGTAATTCTACCTGCTGACAGCCGCAAGTCATGTACACTTCACACATCAAAGATATACTGATGAACGTGAACGTAACCCACTTCAGAGACGCAGGGATTGACTTGCTACCAGGGAATAATCTCGTTGATTTAGAACATGCAGATGATATAGCTCCCCGCCTAGGTGAAAACACTGACAAAATAGAGCAGAGTCTTTTGAACGCATCATGAGTAGCGGCAAGCTTCGAGTGTTTCGCATGCGATTCGCTCCTTTTATCAAATGTAAGATGATAATGATATAGGACTGGAGCACATTGACTCATTCCTACTTTCAAGATAGGGAGTCAAGTGAAGTGGTGCCAGAGGGTGTTGACTATATACTTCACTCATTTGGCAAGTGACATCAGCCAGCCCCAACGGGTTGATCACTGACGAAATCTCAGTAGGCATAGTTGTTGGCGTCCAACAACCGTTATCTTTCTTGACCTAAAGGCGGCATTCGATTCTGTTGACCGAGAGGTACTATGGCGATGCTTCGCTGTGAAGGGAATGCCGAGAAAATACATTGCATTAATCAAGACACTCTACTCGAACTCATGCAACCGGCAAGTTGTCATCTGAAATGGTGAAAACTAGCGGTGTCCGTCAGGGATGCCCAATATCCTGATTTCTATTCAATTTCATTTCAGATTTACTAACGGACTTAACCTCAACTCATTTCAGAGATGCAGGGAATAATAGTCTCGTTGACTTTGAATGGGCAGATGATATAGTCCTTCTAGGGGAAGAAGCTGACCAAACAGAGCAGTTTTCTGAACACCTTGAGGAGCAATCTGCGAATGTTTGGCATGCAATTTGCTCCCTTTGTCAAATGTAAGATGATACTACAGGACTGGTTGGACTACATTGACTAACTCCTAGCTTAGAAACAGGGAGTGAAGTGGAAGGTCACTTTGACCGCTTCACTTATTTCGCGAGTTGCATCAGCCAACGCCAGCGGGTTGATCGCTGACGAAATCTCTCCACGGATATAGAAGGCTAGTTTCGCATATGCCAGTTTACGCCATTTCTAGCTTAGTAGACGTGATATCCAGTTGTCTATCGACCAAACGGCGGGTGTACTGCTCAGCAGTCCACTCCGTCCTCCTTTATGGCTAGCTGTGAGTGACAAATGGCCATTCAAAGTGGAAGACATGAAAAGTCTGGCTAGCTGTCTTTGATCATAGGTGAAGTGGTAGAATAGTGTGAGCAATATTGAGGTTAAGCCTCAGTCGAGTGCTAGGTAAGGAGGGAAAATCAATAGACGAGGTTATGCAGTTACATCGGCTGAGATGGTTACAACATGTGTTACGTATGCCTAGTCATCGCCTTCTTCCACGGGCAATGTTAGCTGACGTAGGGTCAGGTTATAGAAGAATCACTGGTGGTCAAACCAAAACATAGCGGCATCAGTCAATGAAATCCACAACAGTTCGTTTCAGCCAGCCAAGTAGGAAGGTGTAGACTTCCTGACTGGTTGGGGTCCTCGGAACGGTAAAAATCAATGGCTGGAGACAATCAATGATATTGTTAAAATCGTTTTCAGTGGCGCAGATGCATCCACACATTATGACTTATAATATCCAATAAAACTCTATTGTTCTTCCATCCTATTACTACCATTCTTTTTCCTTCAGTCATACTTCCGTTTATTATCTCTCTCTATTTTGAATCTCTCTTTACTCTCTTCACTTGTTTTGTGTGGTACATGGAGGGAGACTGGCAACTTGAAGTGCTGCACATCAGTGCAAAGTTCTATCTATGTTGAAACCAGTCAGTCAGTCAGTACTCTTCACGCGTTGTGTAGGAGAGCACGGAATATAAAATTAATCATTTTCGGGCGTACTGGCCGAGAGATGGGGGCGAAAAGTAAGCTGCTCACAGCTGTTCATATGGAGATTGCGGATAGGCGAATCGTCGATGAAAATCTGTTGGGCGATTAGTTTCACTTTAAGACAGTCCAAAATATAGGCAGGAAGTATTCGAGAAATTCAACGCTGACAAGTCTTCTACAACGTTAGTTATATCACCCACCACCTACCTTTCAAGAGGATTGAAAAGGGCACCACTCACAGCCTTACTTCTACTTCCGGCGTTTTTTTTGTCTCACTAACACACATAATGCAATCATTGCTCACTTCCAAAGCGATTTCTGGATATACTAATGATCATTTATAAGTAGTACATATCAGTAATAATAATAGTAATAATACACAAAGAAAGGAACAAATCGTACCTTGCATCGTATAAGTGTAAGCGTCATGCTTGGAAATAGCAATGCAGCGTCCTTATTAAACTTTGGTTGTTCAGCGAGTAAATGTTCAGCCAATTGAAGATAATAAACTATATTATCGACGTACGAGCTAAGCATTAGAAGAAAAAAAAGAAGAAATTGGGTGAGTATTTTAGCCGACATTTTCCTTGAGAAACTAGAAAATAATGGGCCTTTGAAGGATGTTATCCATGAACTTGAATTCTATTGTCGGTACATGAATGATACATTTTTGATTATGAAAAATGAGAAGGAAGCAAAGAATATCCTGTCTGGACAAATTTAACGAGGTTCATCCCGCAAAAAAGTTTACTATTGAGAAAGAAAACGACTCTAGTAATAATAATAATAATAATAATAATAATAATTCACTTTATTTCATTTCTAGACGTCCTTATGACCAGAAAAGAGGATAGCACAATAAGAAGTGTATATAGAAAACGTACATCAACTGACTCAGTATACTCATTTTTTTTCAGCTTCGTGCCCTTGAAATACAAACGCAATCTGATAAACTGTTTGATTCACAGAGCAAGAGCAATCTTCTCGGATGAATGCCTTCATGAGAAACTTAATAATATTAAACGGTCGCTGAGTGAAAATGGTTATCCAGAAAAGTTTATTGATAAGAATATGAATCTAAAATCAAAGCAGCCCAAGGTACCAACAGTTTCTAAGAAGGCCTTATTTTTACAAATGCAATTCCTTGGGGACAACATCAGCGAGATACTAACACAACGCCTCAGAAATGCGGTAAAAAGAGCATTCCCTGCTACCGAATTACGCTGTGTCTTCAAAACCACTCCTCTTTTGTATTCGGGAGTAAAAGACAAACTGCCTAATTTCGCCTCCTCAATGTGTATCTACCAATTTAACTGCTCCTGTGGAGCCAGCTAGTTACATAGGCCGTACAATTAGACGTGTTTCTCGTCGAATTTCCGAACATCACCCTGCATGGTGGTTAAGTAAAGGACAAACAAAATCTATTCGCAGCGCTATTCTACCTCATCTCGTGGATACCGCACAAAAGATTGATGTTAACCATTCTTTCAGGGCTATTTACCGCATACCAAAAAAATCTCAATTTTCCCTTAAGAGTTTGACTACTAAATATTGCTGAGGCTGTTGGGACCCATATTAAGAAGCCTAATTTATGAGTCCAAAAGAAGCTAGTTCAAACATTGTCCTTACCTTGGCCATCCAGGTTTGAATAATCCGGAATTTTTGTGGAATTTTCCTGATTTTAGTTGATATTCTATTTACTACTATATCTTTATTATTATTATTATTATTATAAATTTAAGCATCTTTGTGATCTTACTTAACAATTCGATATTATTTAAAAAACACCGATATTGTTATTGACTACTATTCTAGAATATTCTGTGTATATAAACATGTATATGTTTAAAATTGTAGAACCAGAAGAGGAAATTATCGAAAAGGATATTCTTTGCTCAATTATTTTGTGTTTTATAGATGTCTGAATGAATACTTTCGCTATATTTTAAAACGCCTATTACACACTAAAACACATTATTGTGGGCAGATATACACTTATCTATCCTGTTTTGGTTCGACATATGACGTAACTATCCACAACTAGCGTACTATTCTCAGACAAACAATCGTTGGTGGTTCTTGATAATAGGGCTGCCTTCGATTCGCTGGGCAAAACTGCACTCTGGAGTTGTCTGTTAGGGAGAGAGAGGAAGAGAAATCCTTTAACATCGTGAAAACATTAAATATTACTTTCTCTTGAAGTACCTAAGTAAACAGATGGATTAATAATGGTCGTCATATCGACCAGAACGTGTGAGACCACAGGGAAAGCTTCTTGAGATTATTTACGCATACTCTAGAGGTCTGTGAATCAGATGCAGTCGCGATGGAATCGCGTCCACTATCTCCCGCTTGTCAGCATCACATATTTATGGAAATATGGAAACATTTTTTTCAGAAACTATCCGTTGCTTCTCATAGAGTGAAAATAACATCGCTAAAAGCACTTGTTATATATAATCCGTAATAGACGTGAAACAGAGTAGGAGGCTTGAGTTGACCAACGTCTTTGTACGTGTCTTCATTTACATTTAATAGCTTTACGTATTTTATACATTCCGTGAATATCAAAACTCATACACTAATAATGACTATATCATTCAAACACAAACATGGTACATTATGGGCAACCAAGAGATGCACCACACAATATGTCAGTTTGTACGATGGTTATGATACTGCTCAGGTATGCAGAATACAGCGGGTGGTTGTCTTTAAGGGCAATCCCTTCCCCGAACATTTGATTCTAAGTCGAATCCATAAGGCAGTGGAGCAATGCGGGGGAGTTGCGTTCCTAAAGTTTCCGGTGACTGAATGAAGGTTCATACATCATTTGATTTTCTAAGTATTCTAAGGGGAATGTACACAATAGGTTTGGAATCAGTTTTCCAACTCCCTTAACTAGATAGACCAGTATGTCTATCAGTCTGGTTGTAAGCGCCACATGTTCGGAATTTCCCTTTCATAGGAATAGGACTTACTCTCAGTAGACTAGGAACGCACCAGTTCGCTGTGAGTGACACATGGCCATTCAAAGTGGAAGACATGAAAAGCCTGCCCAGCCAGCTGTCTTTGATCATAGATGTCTGAATTCTAACTCCCGTGTTAAGTGGTGGTATAGTATAATGGGGTGAGTAATACTGAAGTCAGGCATCGATCAAGTGTTAGATAGGGAGGGGAAATCAATTGATGAGGTTGTGAAGTTACATCGATTGAGATAGCTAGGATATGGGTAACTCATGCATGGCTAACCATCCATCGTCTTCCTCGACAACCAACAATGTTAGCTGACACAGGATGAATCAGGTTTTTGGAAAACAGTTAGTGGTTGGTAGTCAAACCGAAACTTGGCGGCATCAGTGAATGAAATCCACAACAGTCAGTTTAAGTCATGTAGGGAGGTGTGGATTTCCTAACTGGTTGATTGGGGTCCTAGGGATGGTAAGAACTAATGAAGGTTGGAGTCAGTTATTGGTGATATGGCTCAGAATCCTCGTTCTCAGTGGCTGGCGAAGATGCATTCACTCACTCTTTGTGATTTCTCATATCATCCAATGAAACCCTATTGTTCTTCGACCACATTACTACTATTCTTTTCCCCTCACTCACAATTGAATCTCTCTTTACTGTCTTCTCTTGATCTGTGTGGTACATGGAGGGAGAGTGGCAAGTTGAAGTGCTGCATATCTGTGCGAAGTGCTACCTTTGTTGAAACCAGTCAGTTAGTCAATCAATCAGTCCCCTAGGTTAAGCCAGCATGTCCACCACCATAGTTGTGAAAGGTGTATTGTAGACACTTGCCCTTTTTCGTGTCTTAGGCACTGGTAAAATAAAAAGTTACGGAGTAAACCACACTCACCGGCATACTGCCTCATTAATTTCTTTGTAGTTTTCTTCAACTTTTAAGTCATCCTTACAATCATCTTCTGACTCGTCTACATTGAGTATTTTCTTCCAGTTTTCTTTTTCGTCAAATATTGAACATTCACATATCAATTCATCTATTGAAGCTTCTAAATCAATTAAAGTTTGATGTAAGTCTAACAAATATGAACAATTCGTATGCATGTCTAATAGCTCTTGTAGTTGACTAAATGCTTCTTCATGAAACGCTGAAGCTGATGATACCCTTTCATCGTCTTCATTGAGTAGATTAGATTTGACCTATGGGAAATAAAGAAAAGGTTGGGGGAGGAAGAAGCGTCAGAAATAACTTGATTAAAATAATAATAATAATAGTCGTGATCAGTAGGGTACAGCAGGTTGAAGATGAGGTGGTAACTCATCGAAGAAGACATTGTGAAGTGGTCGTGCTATGTCATGAATTGGCAGAAGTTAGAATTCATGGACTTACTGGCCATTGGATTGGATCCCAGTGGTTGAATGAATGGTCTACGAGCTCACTAGCCTTGTAACCAGAAGGCCCTGGGTTCGAACCCCACGGTGTGGGTGCGTACTGATGAGGAGCCCCAAACTAGGACGAAAGAGCTGCCCAGTACTCCCTGCAGGTTTACTCATGGTTCTCTAACTGATGTCAGCTCATGATGAACTCTTCCATCCAATCAAAACAAAATCCCTACAAAACCAATTCTTGAAAATGATGATAGTAATAGAAAAACTTTACAACAGTTAACGTTGTATCCGACAGGGGGTGTTTTTCAATGTCATGAAATAATTCAAAGAAGAATATATATGAAAGAGTGAATAATACCGTAAATAAATAGCTTGAAGTTTTGTATAACAGAATTTTACAACAAATAAACTAATTCCCTGATATAAGAATAGAACTTGTGCACAGTCGTGGCGGTAGAGTATAATTCTATTATTGGTAAAATTTATTTTGATAAAGTCTCACACAGTGTGTTATACAGCAAGTAATAATAACTGATGATAACCACGTTTCGAGCACAATTTATTACTGCTCATAATCATCATACCAAGGCACTACGCACACGCAAAAATTATTTATTTATTCATTTACACGCAAAAAAAAACTTGGTACAATATGGCAGCAAGAAAGATGCGCCACACAATAATAAAACAACATGGAGTACAAGTAAAAATATAAGTAGAGAACGGGTAAAGAACTTCATCTGGAAGGAAAAGTCATCCTTGACAAGTTCAAACAGTATTCGTCAACTATTATCGGGAAGGAAAGAAAGAAGGAAACTGCAACACGTTCACCATTGATGATTGCGATTCTTGGCCATATCCGATAACGTTTCGAGCCATCGATTCGGGCTATCTCGTGGACCCCAATCAGGGAGTCGTGACGCACCAACAGATGCTAATCTAGTACAAATATCCTTTATCCCACGACGCCACGTGATGGACTAACCTTTTCCATCCCGTCCCAGGGCTAGCGAACAGAGACCTGTACGGAAGCCTCCAGGATGACATTCGCAACACATGTCCAAGCCACCGAAGCCGGTATTTTTCTAGATGACGACACTCAACGAATGTTGATCTCCACTGTGTTCAAACACACACCGCCAAACCTCAGAATTACTCAACGCGATAATGCCATCACACGCAAGCAATTCTGTGGAGACAGCGATGATCGAATACGCAGAGTCGCCTCACATCTTCAGCTTGGAGAGGCTAGGTTTCACAGGCGTAGAGCAAGACAACCCGCACCGAAGCGCATAGTATAGCCAACCTTTGACAGCCAGACTAACGTTGCGATGGCGCCAGAGGTGGCTCAAGTTGATGTATGCCACCCTAACCATCATTATACGGTCGGAAATCTCATACGTCACCTCTCCGCCAGCATTCACACAACTACCTAGATACAAGAACTTATCAACAACTTAAAGAGGTTCACGTGGAGGAGTGAGTGCAGGTACAGACTCCTGCCAATCTCTTAACAGTACTTTGCACTTAGACGGTGCAAGGCATATACCATACTTACAGACACTGATCGCCAACTGATTAAGTGCGATTTGGGCAGCCTGCATGTTATCGCACAGTAAGACGATATCGACTGCACACTCGAGGTCGAAAACTCTATCTCCAGGTAGCAGATCTACACCATTTTCACGCACATCCTTCAGAGATGAATCCAGATTATCATCGATGGCAAAGTTAAAGAGAAATGGAGAGACCGAGCCACCCTGTCTAACCCCACTGTCGGTTGGGAACAGTGATGATAGTTGGTTGTGTGTCCTCACTCTACCTGAGGTGTTTCTATATAGGGCTTTCAAGATGTTAACAAATTTCTCGGGTACACCCGTCTCAAACAGACAGTTTCAGAGCACACTTCTGTCCAACAAATCGAAGGCAGCCCTAATATCAAGAAACACTACGATTATTGGCGTGCAATACGTGTTGCGGTGTTCCAACAACTGACGAAGGGTGAACACATGATGAATGCATCCACGACCTGAACGAAACCCAACCTAATCCTAATATGCACACACACATTTGCATAAAAACGCATGTCATGTAAGACTTCCTTTCTTTGTATGTCCCCCTATTTTCGGATATAATAGTGGTACATTCTTTGCAGATGACTAGACAGTTCGTTGTAATCAAGGGCCCAGCTCTAGATCAGATTTTGAGTTTCCACGGTGTGAGTGATTGGTAGACCTGTGATCATCCCGTGGTCGTTCTCCTGTTCGGAAGTCATGGGACATGCAGCGGCTGTACCGGGTCCCATGACTTATGAGTTCCTTTTGTTGGTGCGCTGAAGTTACGTGACATTTTTTTAGTAAATTTTCTTTATCGACGAAATCATCTTCAGAGGCTGTACGATCGTATTTATACTTACAAAAATATATAGTGGTCTATTATTGAGTAATAGGGGGTAACATAATTGATATAATTACTCAGAAGTGGCTTCAGAAGTGAAAATTAGAAGTTGAAAATTACGTGGTACTCAACGGCACAAAGAGAGAAATTTGATAAGGTTAAAATTGCTATTAAGTGAGAATAAAGGTATTTGAGTGTCAATTTAACAAGTGTGAAGAGGGTGTGAAAATATACAAAAGGAGCACATGAGAGTGATAATAGTGAATTAATTATTAAAGCAAAAGCTAACTAAAAGTGAAATTAGAATGAAAAGAAAAATCAAAATATATTTTATTTACAAGGAACGATTAATGAAGAGGTTAAGACCAAGGTAGAATAAGAGACTGGACAAACTTTTTCTGTATACAGAGTTCAGGGTTGTATTGATGAATTGCTAGAGCCTTCGCCATACACAAAAGCCGAAACCTGACGCCCTTTGTACCATTTGGCTTCACTTTGTAGATGATCTTGAAAGACGATTCTGGTGGAGTTACGTGGCCTGAGTTCACCAAATGCTCGAGAATTGAGCTAGTAATTGTATTGTCCCTTTGCTAACCATGCCGGATAATATTCAGAGATGCGTTTGGAAAGCGTGCGCTTTGTGCGGCCAATATAACTAGCTCCACACGAGCAAGTGAATTTGTAAACACACATTGAGGTGGCCCAAAGCGGTAGTTTATTCTTCACACATCCGTTGATCATTTGTCGGCTGTAGAAATTGATACGTAGCTCAGTCATAAGGAAAGCTTTTCTCAGTGATCTGCATAAGCGATTCTTCAGGATCTCAACTGCGGTATCGCCTTTAAATTCAACACTCATAAACAGTAGTTTCTTCGGCACCATCTGTATTCTCTCAGGTTTTTCCCTTAACTTCATGTTTTTCTCGATAAATCTTGGAGGATATCCATTCTCTATGAGGACTTGTCTGAGTCGCTCCAGTTCCCCAACGATTGTATCACTTGAAAATATCCTCCTTATTCATGAGGATAAGGAATGGATCAGATTTCTCTTTCTTTTCAAAGGGACCCAGCTATGGAAATTTGTGTAATGACCATTCACTGTTGGTTTCCTGTAGATCGATCTTTGAAGAGAACCATCAGATCTCCTCTTTAGAAAAACATCCAAAAAATGGAATTCCGAGTTAATCTCTGATTCCGACGTGAACTTGATGGCATGATGACAGGTGTTGAACTCTTTAGTTACCAATTCGATGTCGGTATTGTCGTTACGTATAATGGGTATTTTCGGTGATTTTTTTAGTAGTGTTCCTTATCAGATAATTTTGAGGAAGCCATTACAGTGAATTAAGAATAGAAAACTTGTGCATAGTGGCGGTAGAGTATAATTTCATTATGGGTATAAAATTTATTTTGATAAAGTCTCACACAGTGTGTTATACAGCAAGTAATATTTACTGATGACGTTTTGTTTTCTAAATTACTTATCTTCGCGAGGTCAACCATTCCAACCTTATCTAAGTTCTCATGTTCCGACAATCTGACTACCCCTGATCTACTAATTTAGAAAAAAGCTCAGTGATCGCACTGCATGCATTAACACGCAAACACACAATAGGTTGAGTGGGACAGAGTTAAAATTCTAAAAAGTAGTATAGGTAGGTGGAGACAGAGAGAGAGGTGGTCGATTACTGAATCTTGGTTCATCGAGTCTACCTACACCCAACACGCGTAATAGAAGTGACTCAAAACTAATACTACGGATGTGGCAAATAATAATACCCATCATCAAATCAAGCGATGAGTGGAAATAATGGAATTATATAAACGAGGTTAGAAAGTTGTGTGAGTAGTGCCTTGATATGATGATTACCAGCAGAAATAAATTGTGCTCGAAACGTGGTTATCATCAGTAAATATTAATTATCGTATAACACCACTGTGTGAAACTTTATCAAAATAAATTTTACCTATAATTAAATTAATTCTCCTTTTAAGCTGTTAGTAAACATTTATTAATTTCGTCTAATTCAAAAATAAAATCAAAGATTTGTTATGTGAACGATATGAAAGCACTGATCATGCTATCACAAAAAATAGATAGGTACTATAAGTACTGTCTAACACAGTCGCTATCACCGTAAAGTCCCAAAACTACAATGAAACAGCCGTCCAGTACTCCCCTGATGTTTAATGCTTCTCTGACTGATATCAATTCATGGTGGTCAAACTTAAAACAAATGAAGTTAATTTGATGCACCCTAGTGACTGGCTCCCCAGAATGAGGCTGCCTGGAGTTCTAGTGAGAAGTCATGACCAGTTGGGCTAATAAGGTCGGCGGTCGGCGGGTCACAAAGAATATTTCCAACAGCCTGTTGCAGATATTTATCAATAACTGTCAAGATCAGATGGCTGGACAGAATCACCAACAAGAAACTATGGGAACACACAAGACAAGAACCAATCGCCCAACAAATATGCAGGAGGAAGTGGAGATGGACTGGACACTCGCTGAGGAGACCACTGGGTGACATCACGCGTCAGGCCAGTGCTCCAGTGGAACCCGAAAGGGAAGCGGCGAGTGGGACGTCCAAGGGTGACATGGAGATGGTGTGAAGAAGAGTGGAAACAGTATGGACTAACATGGATGCAGGTGAAAAGTACAGCAGAAGACAGAAACAAGTGGAGGCGTGCAGTTGAAGCCATGCTCCACTAGGAACCCAAGGGAACAATAATAATAATAATGAGGATGATATTGGCTGGTGCCAGTCGAGCTAAAACTACGGATTGGTATAAGTTGAAATTCATGGGTTGGCCGTTGAATAGGGTCCCAATAGCTGAATGGTCTACAAGCTTACTGTATAATCGGACTGGAAGGTGTTGGGTTCGAACCCCACTGGTAGGTTGCTGCTGGAGAATTCTCAAACTAGGATGAAACAAATAATCAATACTCCCAGGTTTTCAGTGGTTCTCTAACTGATATGAATCCGTGATCGATCCTGAGACTAGGACTATATAATCAAAAAATCAATAACATAACCCACTACTACTAACTGCATAATAGTACAAGTTCGTATAGCGCCATAAAGCAGAGAAGAAAAGAACATAGAAGACTAATTATCATTGCAGATGTACCATTATGATCCATCTTCAGTTAGATTACTTAATTTCTAAACATCGTTTACTATGAATAACAATCTGAAAACCAACACTTTTTCATATGGCTTAGCTTTTATTGTCAACGAATAGTCAACAGTTCTGCTATATGTCAGCCTTCAATACTTTTAGATCCTAGACTTGATAGTGGTTTACACCAGCTGTACTCCTTGGGTTGTTTCTACACTTCTGCTTATAGCCTTAATGAATTAGTTGTTTCTGTCAGCTTAAGACCCACAGTTTGTAAATCGAGAGAATAAAAACATGTAAACCTTTGAGAAGATGTTTGGCATGCAATCCGCTCCCTTTGTCAAATGTAAGATGATACTACAGGACTGGTTGGACTACATTGACTAACTCCTAGCTTAGAAACAGGGAGTGAAGTGGAAGGTCACTTTGACCGCTTCACTTATCTCGCGAGTTGCATCAGCCAACGCCAGCGGGTTGATCGCTGACGAAATCTCTCCACGGATATAGAAGGCTAGTTTCGCATATGCCAGTTTACGCCATTTCTAGCTTAGTAGACGTGATATCCAGTTGTCTATCGACCAAACGGCGGGTGTACTGCTCAGCAGTCCACTCCGTCCTCCTTTATGGCTAGTTGTGAGTGACACATGGCCATTCAAAGTGAAGACATGAAAAGTCTGGCTAGCTGTCTTTGATCATAGGTACCTGCTTTCTATCTGCGGTGTGAAGTGGTAGAATAGGGTGAGCATTTTTCAATACGTAGACATGTATCCCCGATATCTGGAAAATTCTACTACCCATACGACAAATAGGAGAGAACAAAGAAAACTATAAAACTCAAGTGTCAAAGTCGTGTGATTACAATTGATATGATTATGAACAATAAATTTTGTTCGAAACGTCATCCAGTAAATAATACTGTTTCACTGTGTGATATATCTAATAAACAAACTAATATGGAAATTCAGTTTGGAACACATGCTTAGACTCCAACCATACCCTGGTTGGTGCATGCTTATGCTTACGTCTAAACGGACATAAAAACTGTTGGTAGCACAGCGAAGCAATTACACACACCCCCCAGATTGATCAAGACACTAACTCCCTATTTAAGGAAGAAATAGCGAAAGGAGTATCTGAGGTCGACAGTAGGACCCCTCCTGAGGAAGTCTGGCACAATGTACAGTTAGCTGTAGACACAACTGTAAAGGCTGTTAATAAGCTAAAACCAAAAGTAAATAAGAGCCAGTGGATTTCCATTATCTCATCCAAAATGATTAACGCAACAAAAAAACTGATTCCGGCGAGCTCCAAATATGATGGGAAGCGAAAGCTGCTCAAACGCAAACTAACAAGAAGTCTTCGTAACGACCAAGAACAGTGGTGGGCGAGAGATGGAAGGCATCGACGATAAGTAACACCAGACAACTATTTAGACTTGTCAGGGAAAGAGGTGGCAAAAGACAAATGATAAGTGAAACAATCTCCAAGAAAAACGGTACCATAATTAGCTCACAGGATAGACGACTGGAAGCTTGGAAAAAACACTTTGAGGAGAAATTGAATTGGCCCACAGCCACGTTCAACTTACGCAGCATCCTCGGAATGGCAAAAACCAGTGGCTGAAGACTATTGGTGATATGGCTCAAAATTGTTTTCAGTGGCACAGATGCATTCACTCTCAGTGATTTATCCTATCCGATGAAATTCTATTGTTCTCCCATATTACTATTATTTTTGCCTTATATTTCTGTTTAACTTCCTTTTGAATCTCTCTTGCTTTGTGTTTTACAACTAGGGGGCGAGTGACGACTCGAAATGCTGCACATCTATGCAAAGTTGTACGTTGGAAGCAGTCAGTCAATACTAAACCGCTGTAACTCTAACAATTTCAACACATTGCCAAAATTTTCTTAAAACGCTTGCACAACCCAAAATGTTCCCAGAGTTTTACTACCAGGTGCGTTACATATAGGTAAACAAGCAGATCACCTACAACCAGATTTCGAAGCATTCTCCGATTGTAAGTGTTACAAACAACTAAATAGGAAATAAAATTGTTGAAAAAGGCCTGCGACAGCCCTTTTGCTATAAAAAAAATACAGAAAGGAGTGAAGTTTTAAAAGAGGCTTACACACAAAACACTTATTAATAGTGGAGAAAAATATGACCTAACCTTTCTTCTTGCATTCTCATACAAATACCGGCAATACTCTCCCAAGTCATGGAATTCGTCAACCAAGTCTTTAAATTCTGATTTAACAGGCTGGAGATCATGATGATTTTGTAAATGAGTCAGTAGATTGGACTTAGCATTCAATAACGCCAACCTTAATGATACAATATCGTCTGTCATCACTCTTGCAGTATATCAACCAACAAGTTAACCAAAATCTGAAAAATAAGAAGAAAGAAAACAGAACGTGAGCGATAATCAAACAAGTTCTTCTGCAGGCAGGAGGTGTAGCATAATTAATGTGAGTGCAATCGTATAAGAACACGATTGGGAGTGCACACACCCACGTGATATATATGTCAGATTAAGATTGATTGTTTTTATCATGATGATGTATTTTCTACACTTTGTTTGGAAGACAGAAATTTTGAAATGACAGTAGGATTTCCTGCTGAACTTACTTTACAAATGACACCTAAGAACTACTCGACGGACTGTAATCCCACTCGTCAAGCAATGATCTGAAACAGAGAGCAAAGAGCACGTCAGCAGTGTGATCACACAAGTGTCGTGTGCTAGTGTTACACGCAAGCAACAGCCACAACCAACGGAAAGGAAGAAGACGAAGAGACGAGAGGGAGATGTTTATTTCAACCACGCCAGGATTGAATTAACCGGGTACAAGCTAATTATCGTCACTTATAACAAGTCTGGCCAAACGATCTTCCTCCTGTTCCAGTGAGGCCACGTCAGCGTTTCTTTCTGAAAAAAGAAGAAAAGAAACTTATTTAGTGGCATTATGGTGGTTTTTATTTCATTACACTAGTAAGAACGAAGACTCAAGGTCAAGGATTATATTTACAACCAATCACAATACAATTAGATGAGAGGGAAAGGGCAGTCCTATTGGTCATCCGTTGCCTCGTCTTGGGTAACCAATCCCTGCACACTTCGTAGCCGACCTGAAAGTAGACAAGCATAGTTTGAACATTAGAAAACCGCCGAACTTACCATGCCTTACAGGACGCAATTTCCTATGCCCGCCAGTGAGAGAAACAACTGACAGTGTTGCTTGTGATTGGTCAGTTTGTCATTAGAGTTGTGGCAATTTTAAACGCCACTATGCTGTTTGATTAAGCACGAATATCCCAGGAACATTTTATTAGCCCGTCGGTATAACTAACATTACATACTATCAAAGCAAAGAAAGAAATGATGTTTCAATGGAATGCTAGATCCAGTAAATTTGTTCGATACCAAAGTCGGCTAAGCTTAACACTGTAGACGACGCCTTCTAATAACAGCTGTGGTTACAACGATTGCCACAGGCGATTCAGACCACTTTAGCTCCAATCAACCATTCCCCCTTATCCGAACTAGCTGAGGCAGCCGATAGAGTAGTAGAGACTACTACATCCAACACGAACATTTCGGCTGCCGTAACCGCTAGTCCCACGCAGACTAAGAACTCCTCTGCCGAGGGGTCATCAAACTTAGATGTGGTGGCCCACATAACTAAGCTATATGAGGAGATATGTAAGTTAAGACTCGATATGAGACCTAGAGGTCGCTCAAATAGCCGCACCAGCTCGACTCGTGGTAGATCTTCTTCACGAGCTGGCAGCAGGCGTCGTAGGTCTCATAATTCCCAACCTGTAGTGTGCTGGTATCACCAGCGTTATGGTGACAAGGCCCAAAAGTGTACTCGCCCGTGCACCTTCGGTGTCCAGCAATCGGGAAACCAGTAAGTCAGCACGTATTGGCGACTAACGTCGCTGGCGAACCACTTCCATGTCGCCTCTTCTATGTTACCGACCGTAACACTGGGACACGCTTCCTGGTTGACACTGGGACGGAAGTTAGCGTGATTCCACCAACATCTGAAGAGCGCCAGAAGCCACTTTCCTTACAGCTTCGTGCCGCAACCGGTTCGCCAATAACAACGTACGGTAAAAGGTTCCTAGATCTTAATATAGGCTTACGTAGATCATTTCGTTGGGTTTTCCTAGTGGCAGACGTAACCACCGGTATTATTGGCATGGATCTCTTGCAACATTATCAGCTACTGGTAGATACTGGCAAACACAAATTGATCGATTCAGCTACAAACCTCTCGATCTCCGGTGTTGTGACACGCACACCTTCATTAAGTCCAGTATATTCAACCCCTGCCTCTAACGGCCCATACGCTGATGTTCTCCAGTCCTTTACCAACCTGTTCAAACCGGTTTCCGAACTTCCTTGTGTGACTTCTACCGTCACTCATTATATCGTGACAACTGGTCCACCCGTATTCGCAAAGCCACGGCGATTGTCCCCAGAAAAACTACAAGCCGTGAAGGCCGAATTCGAACATATGTTAGATATGGGGATAATCCGTCCATCCAGCAGCCCGTGGTCTTCCCCTTTACATGTGGTGCCAAAGAATAACGGGATAGACTGGAGGCCTTGTGGCGAATACCGCAGGCTTAATGCACAGACCGTGCCAGATCGCTACCACGTACCACATATACATGACCTTACGTCGTCACTAAAAGGTGCCACGGTATTCAGCAAACTGGACTTAACAAGAGCCTATCATCGGATCCCAGTTCATCCAGACGATATTCCTAAAACGGCAGTGATCACCCCTTTTGGTCTTTTCAAATTCCTTCGAATGCCGTTCGGTCTCCGCAACGCCGCACAAACATTCCAGCGATTCATTCATGATATTTTGCGCGGATTGGATTGCGCGTATGCCTATCTGGATGATATTTTGGTAGCTAGTCCAGATGAGGCAACACATCGTCTTCACTTGCAGGCCGTCTTCTAAAGGCTTACAACACACTCCCTCACACTCAACTTAGCAAATTGTGAGATAGGGGTCCCGTCTTTGAATTTTTTGGGACACAGGATAGATAAGGATGGGATCTATCCGTTATCTGAACGGGTAGAGACTGCAAAACTTTCCTCTACCCACATCCCTCAAAGCATTACGCACCTTTCTGGGAACGGTTAGCTACTACCGTCGCTTTATTCCCCAATGCGCCCACATCTTGGCCCCCGTGACTGATATGCTTAAGGGGAAAGGTAAGTCCATCGTGTTCTCCGAGGAAGCCTTGACAGCCTTTGTAACTGTCAAGAAGGCTATTGCTGATGCCACAATGTTAGTTCACATGGACGTCCAGCTACCGCTCAACATTTCCGTCGATGCCTCTAACACTGCGATTGGAGCTGTCCTACAACAGCGTGTGTCCAATGCTTGGTCACCTATTGCTTTCTTTTCTCGTAAACTTACTGCATGTGAATCTAGGTGCAGCACTTTCGGTAGAGAACTTCTCGCCGTTTATGCCGCTGTCAAGCACCTTCGCCATTTCGTGGAGGGCCGACAATTCACTGTGTTCACAGACCACAAGCCCCTGACGTACGCCCTCCACACTACTACAGATAGATATTCTCCGCGCGAATCGCGTCACTTGGACTATATCTCACAATTCACTTCGGACATTCGACGTATTTCGGGGGTTGACAATGCTGTGGCGGACGCCTTGTCTAGGATATGTACCATGTCGGCGCCGCCAACCATTGACCTGAAACAAATGGCACAACGTCAGCTTACAGAGTTAGATCTCGATAAGCTCTCGTTAAATACCTCCTTACATATCAAGCGTATACCGCTTGTTAATAGCCAGGGTGCCATCCTCTGCGATCTGTCCACCGGTACCCCGAGACCCATCGTTCCACCTTCGTTGCGCCGTACGGCATTCGATAGCCTCCACAGCCTTTCCCACCCCGGTATCCGGACAACGGACAAACTAGTGTCAGCTAGATTTGTCTGGCCTGGTATAAACCGCGACGTGCGTATCTGGGCACGTGCCTGTGTGCCGTGTCAACGAGCTAAAGTCCGCAAACACAACATCACCCCAGCGGGTTCCTTCTCCACACCCGATGCTCGCTTTAGTCACGTACATCTAGATATAGTGGGTCCTCTACCACCATCAAATGGCCACTGTTACTTGTTGAAATGTGTCGACCGGTTCACTCGTTGGCCAGAAGCTATTCCCATCGCCGACACGACCGCGGAAACCATTTGCCGAGTGTTCATGGAACGCTGGGTAGCTCAATTCGGATGCCCATCTTCGGTGACTACAGACCGTGGACAACAGTTTGAATCAACCCACTTCAAGAAGCTCTTAGAGCTGCTGGGGTGCAAACGCATCCGAACAACCGCGTACCACCCAGAAGCAAATGGACTTGTAGAGCGTTTTCACCGCCAACTGAAAGCTTCGTTAATGGCTACCGAGAATACTAAGTGGACCGAGTCCCTTCCCCTAGTTCTACTTAGCATCCGTTCCACGCTCAAAGCAGACTTACAGTGCACCTCCGCAGAGTTGGTGTTCGGTACCACCCTTCGTCTACCGGGTGAAATTATCTCACCTGAAAGTGGTGAGCCAAGTGTTACGGATGTACACTGTTATGCTCAGAACCTCAAGCGCCTTATGCAGCGCCTGCAACCAACTCCCACACGCACACAAAACAAGAGAGTGCAAGTAGATGCTAGGCTCGACGACTGTACACACGTTTTTGTGCGTTGCGACACCGTTCGTAGACCCTTATAACCCCCCTATGATGGACCATTCAAGGTCGTTAGTAGGAAAGAAAATTTTTTGTTATTGATCGACTTGGCCGTCAAGACACCGTAAGTGTCGGCAGACTTAAAGTGGCCTACATCGAAGAAACTTTACCCCTCACGCCTACACAACCAGCAACTACGCCTGCACCCACACCCCAGCCAAGTTCGATTGTTGAAAATCCTACTAAACCTATCAGTTCGCCAGATGCAACAAGTAAGGCAACAGTTACACGCGCCGGTCGGCGTGTGCACTGGCCTAAGCGATACTGCGAATTCGTTAACTAAACACTTTTACGTACAAGAGTAGTTCATACTCTCATTTTTTTCTTTCTTTGTCGCAGTTTACATTCATTTTTCATGGTATTTACCCTTTTGATTTAGTTTGTGGGCAGTAGCCACTTTTACAGTTACTAACCTTGTTAGATTTCTTTCTCTAACATTTTATTTTCGGCCTTGCACTCGAACAGCTAGCTATATCAATCAACCCTATCCCATCACTTGTGGAATTACCAAGCGAACTAACGAAATATAGACCAATAAAAAAATAATAAAGTAAAAGAAATAAGGATAAAATGTAAAAACAAAAAACTACAGATAAAATTAAAAAATATATATAAAATAATAAGCAAACCTTGTACTATATAGTTCAACGAACCGTTACATATTATTGCCCATAACTGTGTCACTTCTCTGCTGTACATTTTAATCTGCTCAATCTATTTTTTATACAGACTTTATTATGTTCACTGGGGTTGGGCCATGATGACACTTATTTATTTTGTGACCCGCATCTGTAATTACTTTGTATGACTTTAATTATACAGCTTGCAACATTTTTTTAAAATGGCGGTTGTACCTACTCATAACTATTGGTTTTGCGCACACTTCTTTGTACATTCCATCAGTTTTCACAGCGTTGTTTCCTTGTTTTTCCTTGTTTTCCTTGTTTTATTTCAATTTGGCGTATCACTTCCATGTTACACTAGTTCCCTCGCATTTATTCCGCTTAAGTTTTTGTCAACACCTTCTATTCTTTTCTGTTGCTTTTACTGTATTCCTCCTAATACGCTGGTATATTGATTGCCTTTGGTATTACTACTAGTTTTGGTTGATGAGGAAGGATGGAGCATTAGTCTAAGATGAAAATTAGACATAATGAGTCACCTTCCCATTATAACAACCTGGGTAACGGAGGTAAACCACCAGACCTCCACATAATTCAGCCTGTAATAGTATGTCGTTAAAAAATACTAAATAAACAGATATTTGAAAAAAGATAAGTAAAAATAAACGACGTTAAAAAAACCAGACAACTCAGAACCTTGAAATCGCACAAAGGCACCAGCGTTATTTCTTCTTATATTCCATCTTAGGCCATTGATCATGTACATAGTGCCTATAA